ATTAATACCTATTTACGGTTTATACCTTGGATTTATATTGGAATCTCAAATAGTTATACTATAAGTAGTATTATTTCCTAATTCGGTATAGATATACCCCCTTACAAATAGCCAATATTTACTTAGTCGTAATTCCGGCTATATAATTCTATAGTATTATAGAGAACTAGTTATTTGAATTATACTTAATTTAGGTAATAAAACCCCTGAATCTCTATACTATATTCTTCTTTGGCCTGATTAATATTATACTAATATATATTTACTTATACTACCTTCTAGGTTACTATCCTAGTTTAATATCTTGACTTAGTAAATGAAATAGAGATTATTCCATTTTATATTTAATCGGATAGAGAATACGAAATACCTATAGTTACTAATACCTATTATATTCTTTATAAAGCGATGTACTAAATAAGGGGTATTAATCCATATTAGTTCTTAGATCTTTATTGGTTTGAGACTAGTATAGCTAATTAATGAATTGAGATATAGTAGGGGCAAGTTGCAAAGGTAATTTATTTAGTCTAATCCTATAGACTAATTTAATTAGCTAATATTATATAGGGTATACTAAATAAATAAAAGATATTTTTTAAGTAATTATACTTTTAAAGGCTTTACTCTTACAAACTTCTCCCCGATTATATAGCTATGCTTTTCGTCTATTTGCCTATTATACGAGAGCAAACTAAGGAGTTTATCCGGGTTTGAAATATCTATTTAATTAGGAAATAGCCTAATTATCTATATATTATTCCTGGCTAACCCTTCCAGAACTATATGTTTTCAGAATAAAAGGGGGTCAGGGACTATGATATTCCTATTAATATTAATAAACTAAACGAGCTATATAAAGGATATACTAGCTATAATAAAGATATATATTTACCGGAGGTTATACTTGAGTAGTATGAATAAGAACTTAAGGATACCGGCTTTATACTCTTAATTATAGAATCTATACGTGACTCGAATAGAGAGATAAACCACCTGAGTACTTATATATATTTAAGGGAATCAATTACTGACTACCTAATTAATACGAAGAATACTCGTCTAAAGCTAGGGCTTTTATTAATACCCAAGGATATATATAATTGGAATCTATTACTAGAGGTAGCTATAGAATTAGAGGAGGCAAGGCTAAAGGATTATAATAATTAAGATAGTATTTAGTTTATTAATAAAGAAAGAAATACTAGCTATAGAGATAAAAATCTTATCTATATTAGTTCTAATAATAAAGCGGAGGTTAAAAATAATACGGGAGGTACTGGATTTACTATAGATAGTATTACTTTTAATAGGGCAAATGGCAATTGGGTTATAAATGGCTAAGAGTATAGGCAGTTTATAGAAGATGGATATATATCTGAGTCTAAAGCAGAGGAGAAAGATAATCTAGAAATTCCTCCTGTAAATATTAGACGGTTTGTCCGGTATTAGAGAAGTTAAATAAGAATATATTAATATATATTCCAAAAAAAGAATTAGCTAAAAATATTAATATTTACTAAAGTAATTAAATATAGAAGTTAATAGTAATCTATTTAATAAGTCAAATTCATATAGTTACAGGTGATTTATTTCTAATTTAATATTAAAAGGTTATATGATTTGCCTTCTCAGAAAATCGACCCCTACTCTTTTAATTTCTATATCCCCTATAATTATTCTATTAACTTATTGTTTTGGTAGTAAGGACTTTATAGTATAGATCAAATTCTCCGTTAATACTAGCTTTATTAAATTAATAGTTCTTATAAACTTTTAAAATAATTATAAGATATATTTAGTAAAAATAACAAGAATTATATCTTAATATATAGAATTTAATTTTTCCCCCTTAATTCCTATAGCCCCTTACTTAATATTCTATTGCCCCTAATATAGGAAACCATGTTTTAAGTAATAATAATACTAGGGATAAATAAAATAAATCCAATTTTAATTTATACTAAGGGGTATTCCTTATAGTTCTTGTATTTATTCCTTTTCATATATTAGTAATATACTACTATTAATAATCTTCGAAATGGGTCCCTAGTATATAAATTCTTTAGAGAAAAAGTTATAGGAATATAGGCTAAAGGATTAAAATAATATTAATATATTATGGTTCTATCCTACTAATTATCTTTATACTATTATTTACTAAACTATTAGATTTATTAGCTATACTCTCCTTCTAATATTTGATTATAAATCAAATCCTTATTCTTTTATCCCCAAACATTTATAATAGATAATATTAATCTATAGAACTCTTGTTTTATACAGGAGGCACTATACCCCCCCTCTATAGTAAAGTATCTACTATACGGTGCGATTAACCCTGCTGCTCCTCCTCCGGCTCCTATTACTCTTATACTAATTATTATATTAGACGGTATACTATTTTCTAGTTAAACCCAACTTCAAAATACTACTGCCTAATTATTAAGAGATTAAGGGATTAATATCTCAGCTAATTTCTATTTTTTTTACTATCCTCCGGATATAGATCTCTTAGAGAAGGTCCTTGAGGCAGAAGTATATAAGAGAAGGCAGCAGGCTAAGCTCGAACGTTTAGAGCAATTACGTAGTAATTTCTATTAGGAATCTCAGGGCGAAAGTACGTATCTATCTATTTAACTTCTAATATTAATATATTATTTACTAATTTTATTAGATTCGGCCCAGAAAAGGGGTAAAGCCTTTAGATCTTTTACTCTTGGCCAGGAGATATATATAAAGGCCTTTAGTAAGGGTAAATCGATGATCCCTCCTGCTCCTATTATCGAAAAACAATATAAGGTCCTTATTTCTATTATACTATATATATATATGAAATAGAAGAACTAGAGAGTAGCTTTACTGGGACGAGTATACCTGCTTCGACTATAAAGAAGTTCCTTAGCTTGGAAGAGTACCGGGAGGCTCAAAATATTCAAATTGAGCTATAGATAGTAGAACAGTTTAATATATATATAAAGCTTACTTATAGAAACATATACCTCTTTACTAATATAGTTATTTATTATAGTCAAAAACTATTATATAAGGATTTTGCTATATATTTAGCCAAGGCTTTTTTATTATTAATTCCGTTATTTGAAAACTAGGAGCTTAATTAATGGATTATAATCTTAGAATATACAAATATAGTCTCTTTTACAAGTAAAGTAAGCTATTATTTACTAGTATCCTAATAGAATTAGTACTAATATAAATAGGTTTGGCCAAGAGACAAAAATAAGAGAATCGACTATATAACTAGCCAGATATTTAAAGCTAAAAAGGATATTAATGGCTTATTATCTTACTTTAACTAATTAAATAGGAGCTTGCCAAAGCATATTTATCTTATATTTGATCAAGATATTAATATAATTCAGGAAAGAGATAACGAGATTCAGGATAAGTATAAAAGAGCTAATAGGGAGATACCTTTCCTAGATTTTAGCCCCCTATTAGGAGGCTCTCCTGATACCACCCCCAACGTAATATCTATATCTATAGTTATATCTACGGCATCTTTTTTACCTGCTTCGACTCCTAATCAACAGATCGAAGCCCTATGGGAGAAGGTTACTCCTTCAGAGAATGGGTCAGGTAATAACCTGAATTCTGACGATTTTAATTCGGACGATATGCCTATGCTAGAAGCTAGAATTACGGTTTCTCCTGCTCCTGCTCCTACTCCTGCTCCTGCTTCTGCTCCTATAGCTAGTAAGTTTTAATAAATTTAGATATACTAGTAGATCTGACGTTTTTACTAGCCTTCGCTCCCGCTCCACCTACTAAACCTCCTCAACCTCCTCTGAAGTCTATATTAAAGAGGAAGCGACAAGTGGAAGTGACTATATCAAGCGATAACGACGATAATAGATCAGATCTTGACGATGGAGGGAAGGAATTACCAGGGGATAGTGATTATAGGCCGGGGAATAGGTCAAGACATAGGGATAATCGGGGGCAGTTCAAAAAAGCGAGAACAGAGTAATAGTACTGGGCGCATTCGACTATAATGCATGGGAATTGCGTATTTGGCCATTATTAGGTGTGTTTTCCATATAAAATATGGCTTTAAAAAAAATCTCGATTCATAATTCTCATTTTGCGATTGCGATAAAATAATAGATGCAGTAGCGTCGCTAAATCAGCCCGTAGCTAAATCCCTTGAGGACTGGCCTACTCTAAACCTAAAAATAACTTCACTTCCCCTTTTCCTAACAACTTCATTCAAGACTCAAGAGCCATCAGCCCACACTCGCAAGCTCGCGTCCTTCAAAGGAGTTTTAGACTTTCTAGGCCAGCGGAACTTGGACAAAGCCGTACTTGTTGCTAAAATCCTCCAATTGCGGCGCTGGAAAAGCCTCTCTAGCCAAACGGTGACTGCAAGCATCGTGCGGGAGTGAAGGACTTGTTTGTTCTACGTCATGATTGCCAAAAAAGAGGGTGTATGGTGGGGTGTCGCAACCAAGAATGGCGTGCTGTCCGTGAGCCGCTCACGTGACGTGTCGAGGAGCGACTTCAAGTTGCGGTCATTGGCGACGGATTTTGACGTTGAGATTTCCTTGTACAGGGGAGTGAAATTGAAGTTGATTGGGTTCTTTACGAAATATAGTGATGCGTGACTGGTGTGGACAATCCACGGTTGGTGAAGTCGAGGCTAGCGAGTGACTTGGAAGAGTTTAATTGTGGAATCGGCGGCCTTAGTTTCGATGACTCGCACAATGTGCATCTCTATTAACTCCTGAAGCAAAAGTCTAGCTTCGTCACTCCCGACAAAGCTTCAAAATATATTCGCTGTTTCTCTAAACCCTTCGCTTTGTTTCTTCATGCTTCACCCACCTCGGCAGATGCTTCGACATCTCATCGCGATTTCTGGCTCTTCCCCTTGCCGAAAAACAAACACCAGCAAGTGTTCCATATGGCGATCTGTCTGCCTCTTTCCTTGGATTCCCGTTCTATCCGTCAGCTTTTCGATTCCAGCTTTCCTCTGCGGTCTTTTATATCGTTGTCCCAATCCGCTCCGGCGTTACTATTCTTTCCATTGACCTCGGATAAGTCGAACTCGCTGTCGTCACCACCGGCCTCTTTGCCTCCCTCTCTGCCTTCTCCCTCACCACATACCTTGCGTCATGCCAGCTTAAAACCCAAACTGTCGAAGTCGTCACCATAAATATAAGCTTCACCCAAAGTATCACCAGCAATCCCGTGCCTCCATACGTCTCCACCCCTAACCCATCTATCACTTCCTTCACAAGCGCCTCAACAGCAATATGTATTCCCGTTTCCAACCCCGTAACGAAACCGAAACACCCCGTCGCGATGAATGTCAGCGAAGCAATGATCACAGTGAACCACCGCTTCCGAAAGAACTCAATAAAGAGGTTAAACGGCGTAAACACGATCAAGACACCGGTACAAACTATCCCAATAATTTGGAGAACGATGGCGGCTTCGATTACCGTACTAAGCGCGCCTCCTCCTTTCCCTAACTTATTCGGAATATTGATTGCTGAAAAATCGAGAACTGTGTTTCCTAGCTGGAGTGTGGAGTTTGTTTGATTGGCGAGCTTCAAGTTGTCTAGTTTTGTCAGGAAAATTGCTTTCGAAAGCCAAGATTGGAGACTCACTTAGTGGTGTACACGACGTAGTGTTCCTGCTGGCTCCGGGGATTGAATAACTCGGTACGTAGTGCCCCGAACACAGCTCCGTCAAGTAAACTGCGTACCACTGCTTTACTCCCAGAGCAGAGACAACATCTCCTACAAGCGTATTCGCTACGCTTGCTACTTCTTCTGCTGACGAAGTTGCAACGTTGCCTAACACGTCTGTGATAAATGATTCTAGGTCTCCAAGCACTCCGCTTCCACTGGTCAATCCGCCAGAGGAGGGCGATCCAGCTGATGGTGTAGGCTGAGGTGTCAAGTCCGAACCCACTGAGTTAAAGAATGAAGAGATTGCTGAGATGGAGGGGAGACTGAGTTGCCTTGCGTCGATAGCCGGCGTGGGGAGATTGGACTCGAGGGGTGGGACGGCACGAGCTGTGACAGATACTGCATTTTCCACCTTTATTGCGTTTTGAAGAATGGTTGAGGTATTCAACTATACCGAAAACTATCAGTGATAATATATATTAAAGATAGAGGATACAGAGAAACATACGACGACGACTTCGTAGTCCTGCAGCTGGCCCTTCTCGGCCCCCGAGAGAAGAGCAACGAGGGAAAGCGAGAATGCTATGGCCGCGGAGACGAAGGTGAGGATTGGAGGGAGCTTGTCATTGAAGAGGAGACAGGTGAACAGACGTGTTTTCTTCGCCGTGATCTTCTCAGAGTCTACCGTGGAGAGTAGGTGGGTGTTGTCAGCCATTAGGGGTAAGATGGTGCCGGTACTTTTCTCTTGTAATTATCCGACCTGTAATTCTTTTCAATGAAAAAAATAGTTATTCAGCAGTAGCAAAAGTTTTTCAATGAAAGTAGTGTTTGTTTCCTCGACAAGAATTTGTCCAAAGGAGGTCGACAATTTCGGGGAATTGTCGAAGAGAAGTACGAGGAGCCCATAAACATTACATATATATTCTTAGCGTCGCATATGCAGATCAAGCAAGACAACGCATGACGTTATTCTTGTTGACCCATGGTTGGCTGTGAAAGTCGCTTTCGACAAGGGATCCCCCGATAGATCTCTTCTCGCAAGCCAACTCAAAACACTCTTGACCCGCTTCGTAAATCGGTGCGAAGAAAATGGAGCGCTCAGACTAAATTCAATTTATTAGATAATAATGCAACGGTTTACAATTTTCATCTTGAAATTATATGAGCGTTTTGGTCAAAGAGGAGAAACTCGCATTAACACTCGAGCATGAAGACGAAGACGAAGGCAAAGGCGAACATGCAGTTCTAGCTGTTATAATCGAGTTCTTTTTTAATCCTAACATTTCTTTCAATTTGGGTTGAAAATGTATGCGCACTCTTCTTGAGGTCACTAGAGGCTTGCAAGTATTTGCATAATGTCTACTTTCTCTACGCACCTCAAAATAGCGCGATTCTCTCTACTTTCGCACATACTTTAAACTAGACTCTACGGTTCTATCACATTGAAATTACAGTTATGCATATAATTTGTCGCCTGTGTAATTTTGAAGGGCGAGGGTAGAGGGTGAGGACTCGCCTCCTTCGGAGACATGAAGAAAAGCAATGTCAACCTGCCTCCGCCGCTATTGAGGTCGAAATCAAGAAAAATAGCAACAATTCTGGGTCTTTTTTCTTGCTGATCCTGCCGCTCCGTGATTGCTGATAACAGAGATGGGACAATGAAGTTTCTTCACTATTACTCGGGAAGACAAATACTTGCAACCGAGGTCAACATTACAACCAACAGAGGCAGTACAGTACAGCTTTAATTAGTATTGTGTACCCATACGGATAGCCACCCATGAGGACGGAGTTCATGCAAAATTGTGTCAATTTCGAGGGTTGCTTCTTGGAAAAGGTTCTCTGGTTTGACATAACAAAGCAGGTGCAAACAAAAATTGGCTCTCCTTGTTGGCTGTTAAGATAAGCCCGTTTCTTTTTTGCAGGCCACCAAGCCGGAAGTGTTGAAATTTAGGAAACCTTACTCAGAATACTACGACAGTGACGATGAACAGCCATCCCCCATCACTCTATATTGTTCCCAGTCCAATGATATAACAAGTAGGCTGTAGGTCACAAAGTAATTGACCCACACACAGATTTTATCTACCCCCTCACCCGCATCTACCATCCACCATGTCTTGCACTCAGACCTTAGATAACACCCACATTTGCGGGCAGATTGAGGCGAATCCTTCCAGAGCCTCTCACACCGACATAGAAGCACGTGCCGGAATCGAATCGAACATAGATCTGGTTCAGGGAGGCCTCTGGCCCAAGATGTGCGGCAAGTGGTGCATCATCTTTATTCCACTTGTTATTCTCGGGGTAGTTGTCGGTGTCTGGGTCGCACTGGGAACCAGAACAACCCATCCCCAAGGCAACTAAGCTTGCCGGTACATGGAAACCGGGAAGTGAACGGTATCTAGTGCATTAAATAAAACTTCAGATTCGATGCTGGTACACTGGATCTTGGCGTTTAGGCACAAATTTGAAAGCCAGGGATATATTGATATCTTTAAAAACTAGGAATTCAGAGTCCGAACTCAATATCTACGCTTTCTTAAAGAAATAAAAAATGACTTAGGTAATGGAAAACTAATTCGCGACTGATTACAAAAGATCAAAAAAATTCCATCGTTGGGAAAGTAATAAACTTCAAATTAATCAAAAGTCCCGGTCGGTTGCCTAGTATTCACGTGGGAAAACAAACAATGATATTGTTCTTGATTAGCTTCCGCCATCGGGATCCGAGGTTGAAGTCAATAAACAAAATCACAAATCTTGTTTTCCTTATTCAGAAAGATATTGCGGGGATCCCTTGGTGGGTGGAAAATAGCCAGTTTTGGGGAGTGAATACTGTGCGGAATCCTACTGAGAACAGTGAGCTTGTGATATTGTTGAATATTTCATTGCATTGTACTGTGCATTATTTAGAACCCGGGGTATAGGTACAGGTCTCCTCTCTATAATTCGTTCCGCATCCAGACTTGCTCGGACCCAGCAACGTATTCGTCATCCATCACCCACCATGACCCACCTCCAAAGTCCCAAAGCGGAGGTTCCCTACACTCCCAGCACTCCTAGCCCCCTGAAAAAAAGCGCATTTTAGCCCCGAACTAATCCAGATTCGCAGTCTACCCTGGCAGACAGACGTCGAGAATCAAATCGGCCCACAGGCATCTCCAGCTCCGGATTATAAGAACTGGCGGGCGCGTGGACCGCGGTGGTTTAAATATTTCCTCTGGTTTCTAGTGATTGGCTCTATTATCACAATTGTCGTCATCTATGCCTTGCATGAGGGAAAATAGGGAGAATCAGCTACATCAAATCGTGTACCGTAGCAGGAACTCTGAATGTGTCGCAATATATTGAAAGTCTAATCCCAAATTAAGGAGTCTAACTAAACTCTTAAGATTTGTGCTTGTGAACGGCACTTTGAATTCTGTATGTAGAACAGAAATCCAATTTCAAACCATTCAATTGAACGCGTTTAACATAAAGAGTATAACTTATGGTGAGTGAGTGCTTGGTTGATACGAGACATCTGCAAAAGTCTCCAGCGAGTATCGGAGAGTGTATCACACTAGAAAACATCAGAGGCCGCCGAATGCCCCAAAACTTTCGGATGCACATACTATGCTGATAGTTTAGGCGAAAATGGAGCCTCTCGTGCTTCATACGCTTCTGCGCTCAAGAATCGGGCATGCTAGCCGTGGGAGTATCCTTAGACTACGAGCTGCACCTCTCCAATACTCAGTCCGACTTCCATGGAGCTCGCTATATCCCAGAATTGATGCTCTTGAGAAATGATACACTTTCAATCAGTTGCTCAAATGGAAGGAAGTGTCGTGATCATGGAGAGGGGAAAGTGAAGTGGAGCTTATCAGCAACCACACCGTTTTCTCAAGCCACGATTCGGCTTGGTCGGATGCGAACCTCATCCTCCAATGAGCAATACACACTATCGGAGACACCACACCTCTTCTTATCGAGACAAGAATTACTTTTCCGACTGTCGCATATCAATTCAATTGATAATATGACCTGGAAGGATATCCTTGAGTTGAAAAGCCAAGTGATCTTCTGCACGTCGACTCCAGATCATACAGAATACGTGCCGTCTCCGCTATCCATCGAAACCTTTCAAAATGCATCTCAAGACAGTAGCAAATGCTCTCACATTGACGAAAACTCACAGTCACCACGCGGAAGAACCTCCAAAAGCCCTCGAAGCCCACAAAATCGTCACGATAACAACGATCGAAGAGTTCGAGCAGATCCTCGACGACCATCACCACCGGCGCGTCGTAGTCTTCTGCGTAACAACGAACTACAAAGATCCAGATGTGAGTGAGGAGGGATGGTATCACCACTACGAGAGGCTGAACGATGTTCATTTCGTTCGCGTGGACCTGGACGTTTCGCCACCCCTGGAAGAAAGGTTGCAACCGAAGGTCAAACCCTGTTGGGTCACGTTTCACAAGGGCGAACAGACGGGATGGAGCTCGGGCGGGATGAAACGGTTTGTGCAGTTGCATTCGGAGAGAAAGGGCTCCGTTTAATTGATACCGGATGAATTCGTCGGAAAGATGAGGGAGGATGAGATGAAATTTGAACGTTTGGTGCCGCTGGCCGATGAGGAGATGATGGGAAGATCTTGGTTTGTGTGGGTGCGCCTTTCAATTCGATGTAGGACGCTGAGCAAAGATGGAGAAATAATGAATGGCAAGAGCATAAGGAGTAAAATTTGACCCTTAACCAGTTGATTTTGCGAATAACTTTCTGTCTCGTTAGGCGGAATGGGGTGGGCCATTGAGCAAGGGAATCAACAAGACACGTGATACGGAGATTGCAAGATGGAGAAAGCCCCAGCGAGGGATGAGAGGAATTGAAATAAAGGTAGAGTTGCTAACAAAAACAGAAGATGTTTCGATTTTCATTCAATGTACGCCAAGGCGGAAGAAGATCAGACATGGCAGACCAGGGAACGGATATCACGTGATACTTGAAACGAAGCTCGGTTTCCGGAAACGCTTTGCCCGGCTTAGGAAGCCGGCTGCAAGCCAATCAGTAGATCATCTCCAGATCCTGCAAAGATAATCAGCTTGCGGGGGACAAGATAAAGGCTGTTTCTGACCAAGCATCTGGTAATGAAGGGGCTCGCTAAGCGAGGCGTTTGCACAGCCCCCCATCGTGTCTCAGGTTGGCCTAATCACCGCTGTAGCGCCTTTTACCCCTTTCCCATTCGTCCACGAGTCTAAATCTGGCCTCCTGCATACCAAAGCCCGTCTCAACGTCAACTCACTTGAAGCTTCACCCACGTCCTGGCGTCCGGGACTCCACCTATTAAAGTTCCGTGAGGACATGAAGGATCAACAGATCCTCGTCTGCCGCTGGCAGCTCACGCTCGGACGAGTCTCAGGTGTTATTGCTGGGGGTTCTTATTGGCTAACTGCATCCGACTGCCGATGGTCAAACTTATCTGATTGTTTCCTTTCCGCCACAGGGTCTCAAAGTCGGGATAGGACAGCGCAAAGCAGCAGAGCTGGCCAACGGCTGGAATATTAGTGGTGGAACTGTGATCAAACTTCAGCGTCAACTTCTTCTGGCAAAGGCACACCCGCACTGTTACACCGTTCCACTTGTGTATCAAAGTTGGCGCTCCTCCAGCCCCGTCCTGGCTGAGACCTGCCTCCAGCGTTAGGATTTACCTTTCTCCGTGCCCCAAAGAGGAAAGGGGCCTTGCATTCTTCAATTTAGGCTGTCTGCTGAGTTTGAAGTATTCGTCTGATATCAAGCCACAGACCTGACACCTCCATAATATATATCTCAAGATTCCCCTCCATGTCCTTCTCGAAATTCTCTCAAACTACCTCTTCTCGCCCCTGCAAAAACTAATTGTTTCGATCTTCACTTCAAACTTAAAGCTGGACTTTTGCTAGACATTTTATTTTATCCACTATCCAAGATGCATTTCACCACGCTCTCCCTCATCTTTTCCGCCGTTCCTTTGGCGCTGGCTCAATACGGCGATTCCGGCAGCAGCACCACCACTTCCGCCGCCGCCGCCGCATCGCAGACATCCTCCTCGGGACCACTCCACGTTGTCAAAGTATCAAACGCCAATGGAGACCTGACATTCACCCCCAACGACATCCAAGCTGCCGTCGGCGACCAAGTCGAGTTCCACTTCTACGGCCCCAAGCACTCCGTCGCGCAATCCAGCTTTGCCAAGCCATGCGCCCCAGTGAACTCGAGCGCCTTCTTCAGCGGTCCCATCACCACCTCTGGCACTACTGCCAATACCGAGATCTTCACCTTAAACGTCACCTCCACCGCTGCGATCTGGTTCTACTGCAGCGTTGCTAGCCATTGCGCGAGCGGCATGTCAGGTGTTATCAATGCACCGTAAGTCCTCCACGTCCCGCAAGTCCATAGAACGAACAGGCGCTAATCCAGTCCTCGCAGATCTGATGGTTCGAAAACCCTCGCGATGTATCAGTCTAGTGCCAAGACCGCAACCAGCACCATCCCGAGCACCGTCCAGGGCCTTATCCAGGGAACACTCAGCTCAAGCACCACTTCATCAGCGACTTCTAGTGGCGCCAGCCCGTCCGCGACAAAGAGTGCTGGTGTTGAGGCGAGAGGAGGCGTAAAGTGGACTGTTGTTGCTATCACTGGTGTTGTGGCAGCTGCCTTCGGCTCCTTGATTGTTTGAGACAATACAAAGGGTGAAGACGATGGGGACTTGAGTACATACAGCATGTCATGATTGACGAATTGCACTGTATGATGGGGTGTACAAGGAGACGGTTTACAGGAGTTCTGGGGTTGTAGTTTATATCAAAATTGAAATCTTCTTCCAACCTTTTACAAATCGAGTCACTCGCAAATGTTAGCTTGCTTAAAAGCATGTCATGACTTCACCCTTCCCTAGTGAACTGAGAGATTCGCTCGTATGACATGATTTTGCCTCAGTTATTGCCTACTTTTTTATTATTTTCATTTTCAGCAATTTCTTCTTCTGCATTAGCTCGGTTAGCAAGGCTCCCAGCTTTTGTAGCTATTCAGTTGATCACATTCCACTCTTCGCGATCTTTTGCTCCTCACACGACGGGAGTGGAACCGACTCCCGCGGTATATGAGAGATCGGCCTGTTGTACTGTACATCTCATATTCTGGAGGCTTTTCGCTTGGCCGTCGATGATTGTGGATATATCACAGCCTGAAGCAAATGAATGTTCCCAACGCGATGCTGCCAAGGACGGGCCTAGCTACCGATGCCTTTCTACTTGCCGATTGTTGAGTTACGGCCACCTCAGTAGAGGTGGCCGCTGGCAATAAAGCAGCTGTGGAAGGTCTCGTGCGATCAATGGTAAAAGCGCTTCAAAACCCAGCACAAATGTAATTCGTAAGAGGCGAGATGTTGGGATATGTTTGGTAACCCGTTTAGGTAACGCATGTGAAAGTATTGTCCTCGGGACTGTCTATTGTTAGTGATTCCCTTTAGCAAGTTCTTTTAGATTTCTTACAGACATTCCATGTGAGAATGCCACTATTCTCAGGACCACCTGGCCCCACGCAACCTTCTTTAGCTCACCAACAGCGTCAGGATCAAGGCAGGCGCCATAGCTACCCGAACTAGTGAAGATTTCGTTTGAGCCGCAAAACAGGACCTCCGCTTGGAGAATTCGGCAAGGGGGGCACAGGGTGCCAAAAAATGATTCAAGATATATAAAATATTCATGAACATTTTGAATAGAATCTGAGTAGTAGGTAGATTTTGATGAATAGAATAGAGTAGTAGCCACTACTCTACTCTACTCTATTTATTTGACACTAATCCAGACTAGAAATAGCCCTCGAGGAACGGTGATGCTTTCTGAAAAGTGCATTGAAATTTCCGAAATCTTCTTCATTGGTCTAGAACGTCCGGGAAATCTGGGTTTTGTCTTCAATGCTTGTGCGATGCAGATGTCCTGTGATAATGCACTACCCATTGGACTCGGAACTGAAGTTTGCAGGCGTGAAGGCTTCGGCGTAAACCATATTAGGGTCTGATTCATCTTCAGCCGGGGTTTTAATACTTACAGGGGGCCTGAATTGCTCTTATACGGCAAAGAAGTCGAAACTGGATCCTCAAAAGGGGTTGGGCTGGAGGATGAATGGCAGCCTCACAGCCTTATGGCTGTGCAAAAAAAAAAAAAAACAATATAGGGAGCAAGAACGGTTGATCAATGACAGAACGTTCTGCCATAAGGCGGTGAGGCAAACATTAGCCGTCGCACACGTACACGCGGCATCCTGCTGCATGTTAGACTTGGCAGCCAAAGGCGGCTTATTATTGGGGCCGACAGTGGCGATTCAAATGTGCAAGTACGACTAAGGTTCAGCTGGTTTGGCTGTTCAGCTAAACAAGGGTTTTCGGGGGTAATAGGGGTTATTTGGATGTCTATAAGTAAAGGACTTAGATCACTGTAAAATGGATAGTCGTCTGGGGAGCCTTGCATGCGCCCTTTTGTTTTGCCATCTCAACACTTATAACCACTTAGGTAGACTTCATAAGCTCCCCAGCCTCTCAATTTGAAGCATCCTTTGTTCGTCCTGAATCTACGGCTCTATTATGGCGACTGAGCATCGAATCATCAAATTCCTTCATATTCCTCTTGTTCTTCTCTCCAACGCGGTCTCCGTTACCCTTCTCTTCTTGCTCAATCACAGGTTCACAGGGAAGCTCCCACGTCTTGTTGGCCCTCATCCCGACACTATCGCCATCATTGTCCAAGTCTCAGCTTCTCTTCTCGCTGCGTCCCAAGTCTACGTTCTCTGCACACTTGTCAACTTCGCTACCCGTCTCCAGGTATTTCGGAGATTCATATCAGCGAGCTCTCTGAAACTCCTCGCGGCACTATCCATACCACGAATCGATTGGGGCCTCGGATATCGTGGCATAGCTGTTGCAGCATTATTTACCGTCATCGGACATGTTTTTGGCGCAATTTGGGCGGGCGCATTGACACCATTGGCGGTCGATTCGATACGCAAGGATGGAACCGTACAGATACCAACCTACAACGGTCCCTATAAAATGAGCTGGTTGCTGCAGACGGGAGGCAAAATCTTCTTAAAAAACTGCAACGCTTACCACCTTACCTCGTCCATCTCCATCAGTCGGTGCCCAACGATTAATTTCATTACAACTTTAATGTCGACGGCCCTGGGTGCCACAAGTGCGCCAGGTGTTCCGAGAGTTTACCCCAAGATAGAAGTTCCTGCTTGGAGCTACAGCAATCGCTCATACGGAGCCGGCGCCTCACAAGGTCTCTTCTCTCCCACTAGTAATTCCAATGACTCGTATACGGCATACTCATATGAAGAACCCGGTTACTGGAGCCGAGTGGCCTGCCACTACAACGAAACCTCAAACTTGACGATCACCCGTCTGGATTCTCTTGAAAACGCTCCATTCGTACTTTGGCTGGTCGAGGGTTCACTGCCAAACACAGTCGCAAACAATATCTCCTCCTATACGTTGATGACAGACCGTACACCTTGGTGGAACGAAGCGCTCGGATGGTCGGCTGCTGCGGCAAACGGTCATAACATGCTCGCTATTGCTACTGTTGCTAGTGGTCATTGGTATACACATTGGAACAGGATGCAATGTTCAGTTGACTTTCAGCCGACACTTTTTAACGTCACCGTTAATCTCACTCAGTCAATGATCAGTGTCTCTCCAAGCGGTCCGCATGCGGACTTCGACCAGACCGGCTCGCTTCAGACAGCTGTCATGGCCAACCTTGATCTAATCTCCCGAATGAGTTCTAACATAGGCATATCAAGCTTGGGCGCCGCGCTCGTCGCGAATTCGGTCGCTATGAACGCCAGCCACCCTGGGATGACGGAAGACGAAATATATTTACGTGCAGGCGAGAACATGATCGCTGCTCTTGTCGACGATTTGTTGGTTGCCGAAGCAAGCAGACAAATGATAATCCACAATTCAAGCGTCGCTGCGCCTGTGTACAAGAAATTCGATGCCATCCGGTTGGGATCGCCAAGACTCATTTATATTTCCCTGGCAATCAATATCACACTTGCAATCATAGTTCTGGCCGAATCGTTTCGTACCAAAGCATGGCACCATCTCCCAGCGTTCAACATTACAAATTTGCAGAGCGTCATTACTGCTGCCCTGCTGTCGCCGTCCAGATGCCCAATCAATGACGACGAGTTCGAAGAAGATGTGAATGCTACTCTGGCGACAAGTGAAATGAATCGGATGACGTTCAAATGGACGTATGACAAAACTAGTACCGTCATGATGCTAGTCGACTTGTCGAGCGATGTACCCAGCGAAAGAACGAATGCGACCAGTATCCCCCTGGAGCATTTTTCATCCGAGAGCCTGGAAACATTGGTATAGTCGTTTGTTAAAAGCCTGATTAAAAGCCTGATTAAAAGCCTGATTTAGACTTGTCGGAAGCTGGGTTTTAGTTACGCGCGGTGGGCTGGTGTAGCAAAAAACGCACGTGATTGTGAAAAGGCGCAGTCACATGACCATGTGCAATATTTGACCGGCCGCCGGAGGCTTAGGGGCGGTTGGGGGGTCTCCCCTCAAGATCAAAGACTACTTTTGCCTTTTTCTACTTCCTCCTTTTTATAAGGGGGAGTTCCGGGGGTCTCCCCAAGATTAAACACTTCTCTTATCTTCTTCTATTTCCTCCTTTCCTTTGAGGGGGGAGGGGGGGTGCGTGTGCCTGCAGGAAACACGCCCTCAAGCTCGTTAAGTAATAATCATACAGACATTCCAACGGGATCATGTTATTCCTGCGCTAATATTAATCAAATCACACGATCGATCTTGTGCAAGACGCCTTACTCAGCTGTCCATGGAGTACTGCGCTCGAATCTGAGCTGCTTGTGGAGTTCTGGGCCCTCGCCCCGCAATTGGGTGTCGGAATTGAACTTACCCATCGGCTAGGCGCACGTGCCGAATTACAAGCCGCCACCCCGCCCCCACTATTCCGCCGCTCCGTGCGGCTTTATGTTCTCCCAACAGCTCCATATGACCAGCAAAGTTCCCCGCAATGGAATCTTCTCTTTCAGCCAAACTGCCGAACTCTGTTGCGGTAACATTCGATTCGTGCCCTCATGCGTAGCTAGCCCTTACACGTACGGTTTGTGGCCTCATATATAAATCTGCTGCCGTCAATTCGAACTCGAAATAGCGACCTCCATCTTACTCTCGACGTAGCTTAAGCTGACATCATCGCTCTTTGCTCTCACAATTCTCCCAAAACGAGGCCTGATAGCAACCTTCTTCATTCCCACGCTGTAGAAAAGCAATATCGCAATGGCTGCCAACGGTACCAACAGCACCAATGGCGTCAAGGACAATAACAGCAAATTCGATCCCCACTTTACACAACACGTCATTGGCCTTATGGCCCCCGAGACACAACCCAGACACAGAGAAATCCTCAGCTCTCTGATCAAGCACTTGCACGACTTTTGCCGGGAGGTCGAGCTCACGCAGGACGAATGGATTATCGGTGTCAACTACGTCAACTCGATCGGCCAAGCGTACAAGAAGAACCGAAATGAAGCATGGAGGGTGTGCGATGTCCTGGGCGTCGAATCGTGAGTACCACTTGTGTCATTATACCAACAATCAATCGCCCCCGGCTCCGGCAGCAATAGAATGATATTCATTAAAGATATGGCTAACAATTCCGCTTTAGGCTCGTCGACGAGATCAACCACAAGATCGCCACCGAAAAAGGCATCGAACCCACATCTTCAACCATCCTCGGGCCCTTCTGGTCCCCTGACACACCATTCCGAGATCTTGGTGCCAGCTGCGTCCTGAATATGCCAGCAGATGGGCAGCTCACGCTGTTCCATGGTGTCATCAAGGACGCAGAAACCGGCAAGGGGATCCAGGGCGCCGTCTTCGATATGTGGCAAGCCAGCACCAACGGGAAGTACGACGTCTTCGATCCCGAGCACCAACTGTCAAACAACCTCCGAGGCAAGTTCCGCACCGACGAGAACGGCAAGTTCTGGTTCTACTGCCTGAAGCCGACCGAATACGCGATCGACACCTCGGGCCCCTCGGGCGACCTCCTCAAGTTGATGGGCCGGCACCCCAACCGCCCCGCACACATCCACATGATGGTCACTCATCCCGACTACATCGGCGTGACGGCTCAGCTGTACCCGAACGACGACCCGTGGCTGGAGACGGACACCGTGTGTGCGGTCAAGGACGATCTGCTCTTGGACTTCAAGCCCATCCAAAACGACCCTAGTGGCGCCACTCTCGACGTTGAGTACGACGTCCGTCTGCTATCAAAGAAGTACAAGCCGGATTCGAGTATGTTGATGGGGAACGCAAACCAGAACAATTTCTGATCCGAGTCTGTTGACGGTGGCCGGTTTGGTGTCTTCTTTTTTGAGAGCATTCTTGCAAATATCTTGGAGTTTTGTTTCGTGTATATAGCATAGTAGCCAGTGGCGGCGGGAAAACAATAAAGAAGCTCGATAGAAACTACTCCCGGGCCAGAAGCGTGCACATATCAGCGATTAGGTCAGGGACATCGCCAGGCAGATCTCATAGCAGGCTTAAAGCGAGTAGAGATTTCGGTCAATGACTTCAATTGGCTTCGACGTGAAGGCCCAGAATTGGTTCTATACATGATTAGTACGATGATTGTCCATTGCACGAGGCAGGGCTGCAAACCCCTCCTTGTGCAAGATTGATTCACAGTGAGGGGGCAGTAGAGGCTCCGCTAGCGGCCGCTCGCAACTGACCCCACCCCCTATCCGTCCTTCCCTATCAATGTTTGTTCATCGGACGATTATTTGAAGGCAGAATCCCGCATTCCTCCTCCAACACATAGAAAATATCCAGAGAACAATTGGCAGGATAATAATGGATCATCACACGTGCTATAGTGCCAAGTTTGTGTGCGGGGCAGTTTTCTCACGTAACCCTGTGGCACGAATGGAGGCTGTAACACCTGCGTCAACCCAGCCACGTCAAAATAGTACGGTAAAGCCAGGAAACGATTTTTTGTACCGCCAATCAATGTGTGCAAACTCCTAAAACATGTCTTTAGGATATGTCATATGATGACCAAGCCTCCTTCTATCTAGCATTTCAGCTTGTATTCCACCTCGTTCGCGACTCTTTCTGTTTACCTTGATTCATTTTCACAGTGATTGGGCCGATTCGAGAATCTCAACAATTCAGATTGCAAGAAAGACTAGCTTCTGAGTGGAAAAGAGGCTCTGCACTCGGACTCGGAATCAGAACAAGAGGAAGGTTCCTCGAGAAAGGGTGGTTTGTGCCTATATGCAGCCGACGAAGAGTGCTCGAGCATCTCTCGCCGAGAGCCCCAACGACCCACACAGTTCGGGCAACGCTTGAAGCAAGTCGGAAGTCGGGTCAAAGTGAATACACGAGACCTTCCTCACAATAAGAAGTTTCACATGCATCATCTTGCTTCACTCGTTGCACTCGCGCTCTTGCTTGCTTCGAGGAACATTCTGGACAAAAGGCCTTATTCCTGGAGGGTGAATCGCATTACCATGGTATTAGGAGTAATAAGTACTCTGCAATAATAGTTAGTAAAACTTCGTCTTCTCGATGTCAAACATGTGGTAGGATCCCCCAACGCCGCACGAAACCCACTTTCCCCTTCCAGCGCCGCTCGCTTGATCCAATCCTGGCACACCTTACTCTCCTCCCCATCCCGGATATAGCTGTGCACATAATGCTCCTGACGATAGTGGCTTTCGCCGCCCCTTCCCTCGGTTCCTCCACCGAGTACAGTATGCCACTCAAGTGCATCCCATCCACATCCACAGACCACACCGTCAAACTCTTCCCATTTCCACACGCATTCCACTCCTCTTGGAAATCCCTCTCTCTCGCCCCATCCGCTCTTGCAAGCACTAATGTCTCCAAACTCTCCGTATCCCCCAGGACTCCACCAAGTTAAGACTGCATTCGTACAGCGTGAACATCTTCAGTTAAGGCCATAGCGACCACACGTACATCTCGTGCTGCTCCGTCGGCCGGTCCCTAAAATTGGTATGATGATTGAAGAACGTCTGGCCCCGCGTATCGCTGGAATATGCAAGGGAAGTCGGTTGGACGAACCCGCTGTTGAGTATTCGAGGGATGCCGAAGCGCTCGCTCGGAGTAGGGGAGACACTTCGGTGTGGGACGCTGATGACGAGGCTGCGGAGGGTGGGCGCGAGGAGGGAGAGGAGGGCGTAGACTGTGCGCGCGGTGGGGAGGTCGTTGGTGGATTCGTTGCGGAAGGGAGCGAGGTATATGGTGGTTGTGTGTTGGGTTCAGCACGGCGTTGGCACGAGAGGTAGTTGCGGAGCTGCAGTGTCAGCGGTATATGCAGTGAGGGATTCGGCAATGCATCGTAGACGGTAAGGCGAGTCGATGTACAGGTAGTAGGGTGTAGAGGAGTCGGCGCGCAGTGGGGTCCCTCGTTGATCCGCGATGTGGGATTGAGCGCGACAACGGTCAGTGTTATTGTATGCGACGGCTCGTAAGCAATTTTTGCGGTAGCTCAAAATAGAACGATGAAGGCAATAATACAGAGGAAAATATTTGAGGTGAGAATAGCTGCGAGTTGTTGCTTGACATTTTGTGGTGAAGTCGTGATGGAAGTTGGAGCATCATTTTTGTGGAGGCGTTGATCAGCGGGGCGCGCCAGGGGCTAGTTCTACAGGGGACAGCCAATTGAAAGCCTTCGGTGTTTCAGGGGTACAGGCATACAGAAATAACCCCACCATACTCGGAGAGAGAGGCACATAGTTTAAAGGGTAGGGATTTGTGACTTTCTGAGAGCGAATGAGGTGCGGTATGAGAGATTGGATGGAAGTGAATCTATATATCAAGAAGAGAATACTGGGAGAAAAAAAGGGACGATAAGAAAGAGGAAGTGGGTTAAAAAGGGGTGAGTTGACTAAAGGGGAAGTAAGGTAAAAATGGAGTAACAGAGGGCTAAAACAAAATCCGGATCAGAGAGTGAACGTAGGGAAGAGTAAGTAGTGATGGACGGAATTCAAATAAAGAAAATCAGAGGAGTCAGAAAATTGACATGAAGCAGAGTGCAGTAAGACTTACACATTTACCCCCAAATACAAAAAAGACGTAGGTATTGGTTGCAAGCGCTTCAACGCGAATACCACTACTTGGTACCATTACCCCCTTCTCTATCTACTATATAAGGAGTATATCAAACAGAAAAAATATATTATTTCATTATGCCCCCTTGACTTAAAGTTTTAACCTCATGTTGCTCACTATTCATTTTACTAGCAGCTCGCCGTCCTAACAAATGTCGGAAGAGTAGAGGATTAGCAACATAGCTATCTTGATCATTGCATCCATGCCACTTCCGCCTGCCAAACCTACACTCAAACCACCATGACTAGCAAATACCAATATCGGGGAAGTACTCGAAGGCTGGCCCAGACGATGTTGTAGTGAGATTTGTAGAAGGGGTAGCGCAGTAATTGTTGTACCATGTCTTGATAACCTGAAGATATGACGCCACCGTGCAAGATCCAATCCCGCCGCATACTTTGGATACGCCAGTCGTGCCGGAGTCATCGAATAGTCGGTGTTGAGGATCGGCCCGAAAACAAGTGGAATTCACAGCAGAGATATTTGGCGGGCTGCATTTTCCTTGGGCATTGTAAAGAGTCCTGAAGCAAATCTAAAAAGACAGCCAGGAGCATAAAACACATCCACCATGGAAATTCAATAGATACTGACTGTCTCTCTATTCCAATTCTTCAAAGTCCACCTTTCCTCTGGCCGTACCCACCCGGATGTAGGCCCCATCATACCCTCATTCTGTCGGGTTGGGACAAACATCACGATATAAGAGTGAATAACTGAATTATATGGAAACCACTTGGCTGTAGAACAGGAAAATAGTTTGGAAACCGGGGAGAACCAGAGCAGGGATCGATGGTAAAAAGCATCTGAATACAAGCTTGAGACAAGAATGGAAGATGCGACCCCTAGAACCTTTCTCTCGGGAGGCTAGAATTGCGCTACAGATACATTTTAACCCTCGACCATTCAGTACATCCACTCTCCTTCCTCAGCCCAAAAAGCACAACGTCCTACCTTTCCAACTTTTCCATTTCCCAAACAACCTCTCTTATCCAAACAGACACCAGTCCGCGGGGTTATCTACTCATGCAGCCAAGCTTTCCCCTTGAATTCGTTGATAATTCGTTGTTGGTTTTCGATGCCGTTATCAACTCTGCACTTGGTTTGTAGAAGTGATACGATAAAACACTCGATCACAGTCCACCCGACAAATGGTCCGGAATAAGTCACAACACCATAGTTCTCAAGATTAGGCGCTGTGGCTTCGGAATGACATACCGAGATCGAGCCTCTGAGTCTAGATCTCCCACATGATGCCACCTCATGCCACGACATTGCGTGGCTGGAAGATGAGAGGTATATAATGAAAAGCTCTATCATGCATTTCCAAATGCTTCACAGTTAAAAAGGTTCTGTCCTGTTTTATGCGTTGTACTGGTGTAATATTTTGGAAAGCGATATCCTCATCTTTCTGTTTTCACGATGCCTTCGAGCTTTTCATCAAACTCACTTAAGAAAGATCAAGTCACCATCACCGCCACGGAGCTTCCAGATGAAGGCCATCCTTTCCACAACGATGAAATCAAATCAATTATCTCCAGAGCACCAGCCGTCTTCTAAGAATTACTTCATTCAAAGCAGTCCGAAACGAGGTCCTCGATCGACGTGACCATGAAGGTCTGACTTAAGGCTTCAAGGCTCGCAAGGAACAGGTCGGAATCGTCCAACCTCCTACAGGGAAGCAAGTGATCACTCAAGATATCAACCCCACCAGCCCAATGTCCAATGTCGAACCCTTCACACCTTCTCCCCAAGGACCATGATTCGCAAACACATGTCAATCATTCTGGTACCACACCACTACTCCGCTTCTCAGCCAGCTCTGGCCAACAAAACCGTATCCGCCACTTCGTAGTCCGAAGTTGTTGGGGGTTAGCCCAGACATCTGAGTGCTCTGCATATTACTTGGGGGAGGGATTGTGCAGAGCATAGTTCCGTCAGACACACAGCAGCGAGCGACTGCTGGTGTAGGAAAACAATTCATAAACATCCACGAACACATCGGTGCAGAAAGTTTAGGCGGAACGGGTATTGCGGGGTAGCTCAGCACCCCCGAACCTCTCTTTTGCCGAAACCAGTCCCCTTCCCGTGTCCCAGATCACGAAACCAACCCCCAAGACCCGGGATTTGACGCCAGGGTTATCGAACTTTAAAATCTAAAGGGAACGAACATCAATATATATTCCCTGCTTTTAGACATCATTTCTCGAGAAGCTACCTGGCTAGATTACTTGTCAGACTTTAGTACAACAATGCGCAGAGTTATACTGTAGGACTGGGAGATCTCCGTCTAATTAGAGCGTTCCTTGAGCTGAAAAATGATTCTTCAGACTCCACCTTCACTCGTCATGATGTGTTGTCAACCATCATCTAACGAAACGTTGCATGCCAAGTATCCATCCTCCACCTATATCATGGTGCTTCTTCGTCGTGTGGCTTCCCAATCATATTCAGCAGCCCCCCTGCAGCCCATCTGCAGGTAACCTTTTCACTAAATGTCTTGACAATCTAAATATAATTCGGTTCCTCAGATGCGCCAATCGTTGCGATCTCAAGAATCGCAGTGTAAATCGCATATGCGTGTGACCCCTGAAAGTCTGCCCTGTCGTTTCCCCAACTGGGCTAAGCGCGCCCAGAAATCTTTCGCGGATCCCAACTCCTCATCTCCCCGCCTTCTATAAAAGTGCCTTTTGAGATCCACGCCGCCGCCGTCGTCTCGAGCCTCATTCTTACCCGTCGCGATGTTTGTTGCGCCGGTTGTCGTTCATTTGTCCCGATTAGTTACTGACCGAGAGGAGAGGCCGGACGCAGCGAGTGAGAGCGCGGGGGAGGAGAGCAAGGCTCCTGGTGAGGGGGAAGACACAAAGGTACACTATGAGACCGAGGTGCATTCTAGAGTACAGGCTGATAAGATTGAGGATAACCTCGTACTCGAAGAAAGCGCTCCCTTGAAGGAGAAGAGGACACCATCACGGAAGCCAATCCGTATCCGTCGAGTGAGGCAAACCAAAGTGAAAGCAAAGCGGTACAGCAAATCTTCATCGCCCAGTACCGGCGCAGGCGTGAAGTGTGGGTTAGCATTCGCCCTGGTCAATTGACCGACCTACTAAATGGTGGCAAACAGCAACGCGAGATACTGAAAAGAAACAAGCGCGGTTCGATCTGAAGCCGCAAGTGGACGTAAAGCTGGGCGGAACAGATCCCTTCGGTGTCTTCGACCTTCCCCAAGACAAAACAACTGACCTTGCTCTTCACCATTGTAAGACTTAGTTGTCGCTTGACCTCCTCTCCTTTTCCGCCCCACAAGCTTCTCGCGAATAAAAAGATAACAACTGACTTTCAAGGGATCCATGTTTTTCAAAATACACGGATGCCCACGAATCCAAGACAACCTTGGATGCAGATCAATCTCTCCGATAAAACCCTCCTTTCCGTAACGTGAACATCTCCACATTTCCCGATATCCAGATCGAAACTGACGAAAAGCAGCGTTTACTGTTCAATAAACCACTTCTTCTTCATCCGAGGGCAGAGGTGCCCCCCCGCGTATCTACCCCGCAAACTCAACGCCATCCGAAATATTAACAAGGAACTGCAGAAGGTACCCAGCGATCATGCCATGGTAGCCGTCGCCGTGATGACTCTCCTTGAGGTATCTCACTACACCCCCTTCTTTCCCGGACTAGGTCAGAGGCTGATGAGAAGCAGTGCATGGGCGGCGAGCCGGCGGAATGGGTCGTCCACAGAAGAGGGCTCCAGCTCATGATATGCAGCAGAGGCGGCATCGAAAACCTTGGCCTCAACGGCTCGGTCCAGCGAGTGATCTCCTGGTGTGTGGCCATTTCTCTCATTCTCTTTCCCGCAACCGAGTACAAACCTTACTGTTCTTGAGACTCTCGCTGACGTTGTGTGCAGGGCCGACACATGCTGCGCCGTCCTCCTCCGTACCAACCCCAGCCTACAGCCAACCCTAATCCGCAACGCCCTCGAGCCCGCTATTCCCGGCGTCTCCGTCGGAAACCTCTCAGAACGCCTGCAACCACTAACCGCCTCCTCCCACCTCACCTCCGGCCTAATCTACATCTACCTCCGCCTGCGCTACCTGACGCAATTCCTCTCCGCCATCCCCGTCCCCACCCTCACCAGTTCCTCCTCCTCCTCCCCCACCACCCTCGACGAATCCTTCTTCTCCGATAAAATTGATTTCATCGAGCGTGCCATCTTAGCACTTCTCGCTTCCGAGAGTCTGGCCGAGAGTAAAGCCGCCGCGTTCCTAACAGCGCTCCTGAATGCCAGTTTGGTGTTTGTGTATGAAGAGCTCAGGGAAGTTCCAAAATGGAATAACGTTTCTATTTGTCTGAGTCAGAGGATTAGGAGTGGATTAGATCTCATCGAGTTGGATAATGTGGCGAGGTGGTGTCCGGATTTGCTGCTTTGGGTGTTGATGCTCGGGATGTCGGGGGCCAATCCTTTAGAGGTGGGTGCCAGAGCTTGGTTTGTACGAGAGATTATGGAGGTAGAGGGGCTGTTTGAGGTTAAGGTTCCAAAGGGGTTGAAGGAGATTTCTGGGATGCAGTATTTTGAGCTTGCGGAAGCTGCGATTACTCAACCATCGAGCAGAGTAGAGTCGGATTTTGATGGAGATATTAGAGATGAAGGCGGATAGCTGTTTGATATTACCAGTTATATCCCATTACATTCCCAATGCAGTGGATAATATGCGTCTATTAGAACAACCCTCTGGAGGATGCGCAGCCGATGAACAGCTCTCGCGTTGAGCTCGAACCTGTAACTGCAACTCACATCTGCATCACCTCACCCTCCAGCAACCTTCCCAGCTTCCAACATTCCACCAAGAAATCCGTTCATCTCCCTTCACATCCTCCTTCCCACTCCCGTTATGGGACCAATATGCACCTCTCACGAATGCGGCCCCGCAGGCGCCCAATACGTCTCCGTATCCTGCGCCGCCTCTGAACTCATTGCGCTCAGTCCAGATCAACATGTTAATGATCTTAAATATTCCGTCCTAACCTTTGGGGCAGTGACTCTTTCGTTGCCGACGGGTTGGCGCGGTTGAAGACTAGGGTTCAGGGGGAGAAGGCGAAGAGGAATCTACTGAGATGGCTTGGAGGAAAAGGTGATAGTCGCCTGTTTTAACTGTAGGCGTGGAAGGCATGGAAAGAAAGGATTTTACGCATTGAGGCGCGATAGCTAGAGAGAGTGTTTTGCTGAGGCCGGTGAGGAGCGCTGGTGTATTTTTAAAAGCATCGATCTGGCTGGCCGATAAAATTAGACGGGATCAGTAAGAAGGAGACCAGCACTTACGTGCTAGCAATAGCAGGATCTTCTTCGGCAATATCCTTCTCCCTTCCATCGATCCAGTGCAGCGTCGCTTTCCCTCGAACCTTTTCAGAACCAACCACATCCTCCCATCCACTCCCCAGCCCCTCGTTCAACTTCTCCGGTGAGGTTTTCCACTCTGTATCACTCTCCTCATACGAAAACCCATAAACCACAAACCCAAACCTCAGCCTTCTCATCCATCTGATCTCTTTCCCTGGGCTCCATTCCCCTCTCACGTGAATTATCAATCTCCGGCTGCAGCATGCGATGCCTCGACTACCTATTAACCAGCTAACTCGGCGTCTCCATGAAATCCGGACCTGGTGCAACTCTAGGCCTTTCCGTGACTCTATCATTAACGACTTTTTGCAGCGCAGAAACGCATAATAATCTATTCGAATTGCTGCCTGCATGACGTTGATTTGTCGATCTGATTGGAAGGTTGCCACGAAGCGGGATTTCCAGACGGTGTAGAGGGTTTTGAAATGTTGGAGGTTCCGCCGGGGGCTTGCTTGGCTTTGACTTGAACTTGAACTGCAGTCTATGAAGGATATGATTAACAACGAGGTAGAGAGGGGAAGGGAAGGAAATTACTTGTCCTATTCCTCACACAGCATGGTGAGGCTCCAGTGTGGTACTGGCTCGCCGCGCTGGGTGTGGACTGCATTGCACTCATCTTGGAAAATATCAATCTCGGCCCACATCTTGTTGTAGACGTGACAGCATTTCCTTAAACTTCTAGGTTGCGAAGGTAGTCAAAGATATCGATTACTCTTGAATGGTAACCATTGCTTCTTCGATGATCGCCTTCTTCGTCCAATTTCTTGGCTTTCCAGCGCGCTTCAGATACCGGAGCGATGCCGAACCAGAACTGAAACGTTAGCAGAGTTCTCACGTCGTGGATTAGACCTAACCTTTGTCTTCGTAACTTTGAAACTCCTCTCAATTGTATCTGGACCTTTCTTCCCAGATATCACGTTCCCTAAAGTGCGCCGTCACTGTCTGCGGAAAGAGTGGTAGCTCAGCCTTGACATTCCCTGGCATTTCTCCAGAGAATGCAGCAGTGAGGGGTTGATTGAAAGTCGGAATCTCGTACGCTGGACCAGTAGCTAGATTCTGTTAGTGAGGGCAGAAAGGAGAGTCACATGATCGACACTAACCGCCACGCTCTTCTGCATCTTGGGGGCCGACTTACTGCAGGGAAGAACCTGATGCATTCTTTGCCAAGCATGAGGCCTACGATAAAGAGGGCTGAGAATATTAGGAGTACAGTCGTGATGATCCAGATGAAAACTTTAAACCACATATTTGTAAGTTGTTGGGAAAGTATGTTTGATATGAGGTTGGCTGTTGGTAATTTTAATTGACGTACTGGGGTGGCAATCCAGGCATGGTGGTTGGGAAAATAGGGGCTTTTAGCTCGGCTAAAAATGGCTCAACCGAGAAACAAATATCGGGGGGGAAGTTAGACTCCTGCCAACTATGTGAATCACGCTATTAATCAGAAGGAACGGGTTTGCTAGAGTCTAGGCTATTATTAGTAGTTGAATTATAGATATACCGCACGTATCTCAATCGATCATTTGTTAAAGAGTTATACTATTGATTTACTGTAGTCAGAATCTGCCTTGTCGGATAGCTTACATAACCAGGCGCTAGGCCCCTGGTGCCCGTTCCAACTTTCTCCAATCGCCATCTTCTTCTACCCATTACGGAGTGGGTTCTGCGTGGGGTTGCATCCCGGCCCCGATCGAAAAGAGTGGCCTTATTCAAAACCAGATTTCACTTTTGGTCGAGGCAGAGTAACGAGCAGAGAACGAGGGCAGAAAAAAGAAAAAGTGGAAGAAAAAGAAAGGATTCACGAGCTTGACTCCTTGAGACTCGTGTTATTCCTTGGCTATGTCACCGCAAATTTGCTTGAGGAATAGGGGGGATAAGTGGGGGTCAGGATTCTAGTGTTATTGGCTGAACATCACTGTCCGAGCACCGATCGACCGATCGCACCCACATCGTCACATCGACCACGGGTCAATCTCACTTCCACCGCAACACACCGCTTCGAAACGTGCGAGACCTGACCTATGGCACGAAGCTGGCGCAACTGCTGAAAGCAAACTTGGGCAGTTGGAGAAGGCGTACAGTATTCATGTCGGTGGTGCCGACAAAACGCAACGCTCGTCTCGTATTTGGCAACCCTTGGCGGGGAAATTCCAGCACTCTGGCAGCTGGAAATGCGCCACCTGGCATTTCCCCTCGATCTAGAGCAGCAAGGGTGACGGAGGCAAGTCCAGGAAGACACAAACCGAACTGGAAATCCTACTAATTCCCCCGTATCCCCAACTGACCCTCATTTCCTAGACTGGGTGAATCCCGTGAAACACCCTGGTCCCGGTGGCTTGACGTTACTCCTCCTTGGTTTGAAGCATCGCTGGCCTCTTTTGATTCTTTCTCAAGTTACCTCTGCCCAACTTTTACTTGACTTTGCTATTCTATACATTCACAGTGCTTCTAAGGTTCGACTCTTGCCTTCAGAACCGGACTTTGTGCCATGGCGGGCGAGACAGGACCCATTTCGGTGTCACTGCCAGTCGCTATGGTAATCGCGGGGTTCTTCGCAATCTCGTGTTTCAACGTCATTGAAATCGTCATCCACATATTTAACATCTTCAAGCGGCGCAATGGTCTCTTCTTCTGGAGCATGCTTGTCGCCTCGTTGGGGATTGTGGTACACGCTGTCGCCGTTTTATTACGCTTCTTCAAGCTGGCACCGGATTTCGCCATGTGCGTCGTCACAATCATTGGCTGGTATGCCATGGTAACAGGACAAGCCGTCGTCCTTTACTCCCGCCTGCATCTCGTCGTTCGCGACGATAGGAAAACTCGTTGGGTCCTCGTCATGATTGTAACAAACGTCTGCATCCTTCACTTTCCGGTGACGGTACTTTTTCTTGGCAGCAACGCGGGCAACCCAAAACCTTTTCTCGGGCCGTTCATCATCTACGAAAAGATTCAACTCACCGGCTTCTGCGTTCAGGAATTTATCATTTCTGGACTCTACATCTGGGAGGCGATGCATGCCCTCAAACCAGTCCTCGCGATCAAAAGCCTGAAGCAGCGGAAGGTCATCCGAGACCTCATCCTTATTAACCTTCTCGTTGTCTTTCTGGATATCTCCCTCCTTGTCACCGAATACACGGACAACTTTCACATCCAGACCACCTATAAGACCGCCGTGTACAGCATCAAACTCAAAATGGAGTTCAATATCCTGAATCAGCTGCTCTCCGTCCTCCAAAACCGCTTCTGTACTTGTTACCCTCCGAACACCGCTGAAGGCAACGTACATCATCCCAACCCCAACGCGAACGGGATACTGCAAAGCTACAGCACTGGCGGCGACTATAGCATTGGCACTGGCACCAGCAGAGTAGACACCTCTCGAGTCGGGTCTGAGAAGGACTCTGTGTGGAACGTTAGGATAACGCATCGTGAGGCCGACGGTCATTTAGCGGAGTCCCCGAACACAGGCTCAGACGAACGGGCTCAATAGGTGTTCGACCTACATATGGTGTGATGCCGACAGGAGGATGAGTTGTGGAAAGATGTGGACCGGAGGAGAAGTACGCGACAGTATTTTCGAGGCTGGGCTCAGCTTTCATCCCTCCTCTTACCTTCCATCAGCTCTATCGCTGCCCAGCCATGAACGCCTTTCATCCAGGCCAAATGAGTTCATGCAAGCTCGGGCGGTTATATCGTATGGTGTTATTAGCGGGGCCCAGAGGTTGGAGGGTCGACTCTGCCGAACTGTAGCAGGCAGATGGATTGTGTGCCGGCGGCCATCAAGAGTTCGAGGAAGGAGGACGGCACAATGGCGAGGATTTCCACCCCCTTAGCTTGAGATTCCTGTATTTAGGCCATCCAATTGACCGGGTTTCGCACTTCAATGTCGCGGCATACAGTGGAAGACCAAGTCCAGTTTGACAGTCCTCGCTTAATAACGGCAAGCAATAGGGGAAAATGTAAAACAACTCCCCCCCCCAAGGGGGGGGGGGGGGGGCATTAGGGGCTAGGGTTTTAACGACTTGTATTTGCTACTTAAGCTTTTTTAAAGGCCTAAAATTAGATTTTAAATACAAGTATAAGCTAGTATAATATAATTATATGCTTTTTAACTTATAATATAAAGATTTCTTTAAATAAAATTTTAATTTAAAAAAGATTATATATTAATTAATTAAGCTCTAGTTTTCAAGCCCTATAATGCCTTATAAATCAAGGGTTTATAGGCTCTCGTATCTAGTTTTAGACTTGTTTACTAAATATCTAGGCTTTCTTAAGCTTATATATAAATTAGAAAATATTAACTTTTTAATTTCTTTAATTTAAGGAACTATTACTATTTTATATTTATAAAAAGTTTGTATTTAAATAGTTCTTGAGTAGCACTATCAGGAAATAAAGAAATTGTTTAGTTATATTGATTTCTTATAAAATAAGATAATAGAGAAAACTAGATTTTTGGTATTACTGTTCGGGCGCCTCCCCTTTGGGTTAGTGGCTAGTCTGGCCCTCAATGGGCACCCCCCAATCGACACCCGGGTCGTTTTACATTTTCCCGTCAAACGCCAGCGAAATGAATGCGCCGGCAGCCGGAGCCAAAACTTGCCCACGTCATTCCTTTCCAGCGCGAATTTTGCTCCGGCCATTGACAGAGCCTTAAAATGGAAGGCTCTCGTTCACGTACGATGAAGTTAACACTTAAAATAACATGAAACGCTGGGCTTAGCGCAATTCTAAGTAATTCACTTTACTTTCTTTATCTATCGAATGCTTCACTCATCAATTACAATCCCAACGTGACAGGAAAGCCCTACAGTAGTCATTTATCGTATAATTTTTTTCTCCGGATGTGACTCTAGACTCTCAGAAATCAAGTTCGACTGTCGAGACTCTCTTCTTTTGACTAGGTTCAGCACTATATCAAGCAACAGGTACAGAGCCACTGTACCGTATGTCTCGTTCCGTTTTGTTAGCTTAGGCTCTGAACAGCTGATGTGGCTAAGCTTAGGGCGTTTTAGGGCATCATCGAAGATCTCCGTACGTTCATTGTTCCGCGAATTGGCTAGCAAGGGATTCCCATTTTGCTTCTCATTTGCGAACATACGAGATATAGATTTCATTCTATTGCGATATCTCAGTACCTCCAAGAAGATGGCGGGCCATCCAGCCTCACTTCAATATGAGCAAGCACCTACTGGCCACATTCGAATGCTGCGCCTTGAATGGAAACCTGGAGAGAACTCGCCTCATTGACAACTGGAAATATGGCCGTTAGATAAACCATTGCTGTACGATGCACTCTCATACGCATAGGGTGATCCGGGGCCAACTTTTCCATTTCTATGCGATGGTGCCGTGCTCCAAATTTCAAGTAATCTCAATCTCGCGCTACATCGCCTTGTATCCCCTAGCGACTTCCGTTATCTGTGGATAGATCAGATATGTATCAATCAGAAGGATGATGGCGAGGAAAAAGCAACTCAAATCAGATCGATGCACCTAATCTATGGCAACGCTGAGAATGTTGCCGTCTGGCTGGGCGAAGCTCCCGAGGGAATGCAACATGCTCTTGATTTAATACCATCAATTCAAAATGGATTGAATAATATCGATGGAATATTCTTGGTCAACCAGGCGAACTTTGAGTCTCATGGTCTTCCGGAAGTCTCATCGCCTGTCTGGCAGACCCTTGGCGCGATATTTGGGAGTAGTTGGTTCGAACGTCTCTGGACTTTGCAGGAAGTTGTGCTTGGGAGGAAGTTAAAATTCCAAATGGGGTCCTATCTTCTCGACTGGGATGTGTTATCTTCGTTGGCTTTTCGCATCGCAAAAGCAAACCTGAGTTTTCATATGAGGGGTGAAACTGCCATGCCAAAGGATCGCGCCGGTGGGTTTACTGCGGTCCAGCATATTCATTATCTGCGCCAAACGAAGGCCGAATTCGGATACATATCTTGGCCTATGCTCCTAGAGGTAGCCCGGACTAGAGCATGCACAAAGGAAGTTGACAGAATCTACGCTATTACTGGCCTTCTCAGTAGGGATCTCCGAAGCTACATACCGATCGATTATGAGTCATCGAACCAGGCGGTATTTATCAATTGCTTCAAATTGCTCATACAATTCGATATCACACACTGTTTATTGAATAGCGCATGCTCGAGGAATAACATCCCCGGCTTACCCTCCTGGTGTCCCAACATATGCCAGCTGTCGGCGGCCCATACTCTGGGTCAGGTTGCATTGACCTGCGGCTATCGGGCAGGCTGCCGAACATTCCCAACAAGGTCAAGCTCCATTCAAGTTCTATCAGATTCCAACAACATCCTCGTGCAAGGTTTGAGCATCGATACAGTAGCAAGTGTGGTGTCATCGGAGCCTCCTTGGCTGGGCTCCGATGATCCAAATATCGCACGTCAGGCCTTGGATTGGGAAGCTGAATGCCTGAAGATTGCTCAGGAGGTTTTTGACATGCCGAATGGTGTTCCAGAAGAGCACTGGCGTACCCTGATTGCGAGCAAGATACATAAATCAATGCCTTGCGGATCAGATCATATCGATGGTTATCATAACATGAAGAAACTCTTAGAACTCACTGCAAATCCAGCGTTGAGCTTCCCACCAATAGCCGGCGCGACCGTTTCAGCGCTAACTTTTGTGGATTCAGTGATATTTGCATGTAGTGGCCGGCGGTATTTCAGCACGAAGACCGGTCGTGTCGGCCTGGGACCAACCGACATCGCACCAGGAGATCTGGTTTGTGTCTTTCTTTCTGGGCCAACCCCATATATCATTCGCCAGCCTCAACGTCCTTCTAACTATATATTCCTCGGCGAAGGTTATGTACATGGTCTGATGAATTCAGAGGCTTTAGATATGATGGACCAAGGGGTCGTACAAAGTGAAACTTTTGAGCTTGAGTAGACTGTCATTTAGAGGGGTTAGAGGCTGCGATGGGGGAATTTTGTGGGCTTCCTTGGCCGTTCGTGAGGAGGTGGGGAAGTAATTGATATCGAGCAGTTGAAGTTCGTTCCAGCTATGCGAGGCCGTGTTGAAGGGCCTGTCGTTTCCGTCGGATGTAGATATCAAGGTTAACGGCGAGAGGCAAATGAGAATCTTGATTTACAGGATGTATATATAAGGCGATATAAAGGCATAAGATAGCTAATCCGACTAATATGAAACGAAACCCCTTAGAAGATAGAAGTCGAAACCTCAAGTTTCCAAAGAGTTTTGTTTAGTATTAATCGACCTGAGCAAGCTGTAGCGACACCGACAAGCAAAGCCAAGAAGTCTCCCCGTGGCAGATCCTCGGACTCGCCAAGATGCTCACCTTTGTATATCCGTTAGTAAGCGTAAGTGTCTCTCCCTCGGAGGCAGCTTTGACAAAGGGTCTTCTATCAAAGACACAAGCGTTCCGATCACTGCTGCTACATGAAGGCCGGATTTGCGCTAGCTGTAACGAGCCTCTTGCAAAGAACGAGTCTGTGCTCCGATGATGCAGGTGATGAGTCAGAGAATGTCCGCAGAGAAAGGACAAAAATGTGCAATCGAAGACTACGTGAGGTGCATCGGCCATCAATCTCTCTAAATAGAGTCTCTCCACCTGACTCTTCCTTTTCCTTACGGCCAACGCCTCACAGATCCCGCCAGATTTGCAAGGTATCCTCCAACAGTACTTAATATACTCCCCGTGTCTTGCCGCAACATTTGCTCTTGCTCCGAGTCTTGTTTCTCTTCCTCTTGGTCTGCCCAGTGAGTGTTGTGCTTGCGGGCAATGACCCGCGCTGCCGGCGTGTAGCACTCTGGTCTTCTCCAACGTGATTCATTCAGGATCCCGTCCGCATAGCCAAGAGGTGCCCCCGATTCCGAAAGTAGTTTGGGTGTAACCTTGGCCCCCTTTTCAAGCATAAGCTCAGCCAAGGCGCTTGGACATATTGGCAAGGCAAGTTCCAGAATGCTAACTCTGTTGCTGTCGACCGCGTTGGGATCTGCCCCGTGATTCAAGAAGGCAGTAATGCAACGAGAAAGTGTACAGTTCACTTCATTTTCCGGATGGTGGAAGGCCTTATCGTCATCGTAAAGGGATGAGAGCAAGTAATGAATTGCAGATCGTTCAGTGGCATCGCCTTCCTGATGGCTCCAATAGTTTCGGTAATTCAACACGTTGGCATTACCACCTCCTTCCACGAGAATAGCCAGCATTTCTAGATGCAAAATTACCACGTCCAGACTAGAGCTACATGCTATTGCCAGCGCCAGGTGCATTGCTGTAATCGGGTGTCGATTTTCGGGTGCGTCCGGGTCCTGATCTTCGGAGATAATGATGCTCTCGTCCTTGTTGTTGTCTTCTTCATCTTCGTCCCCATCCTCATTTGTGTCTTCCTCGCCACTCTCTTCGAAGCTGTTCTCGTCGCTATCCTCGTCGCTGTCATCGTCGGCCTCACTGTCGTCTCTGTAGAAATTGTTCATAAGATGCCGACGGTCGGGACCCACGTCGACTTCTAGCGCAATATTTGGATCAAAGCCGCTCCTGAGCAAGAACCGTGCGAAATCTTGCCATTGTTTTGGACTGTGATATAAGAATGGCTGTGACTTCCACTCCGAGCGCGCGTTTCCAATGAGCATGTAGAACAACAACTTCGGGCTTCGAGGCACTTCTGGGTTCCTTGATATTTCGCGGCTGATTTCCTTTTCACTAAAAGTAATCAATTCGACCTGCGTCGCGAATTCCAGAAACGATGATGGCTTCAGAGAACCATGAACAGTAAGGTTTGGGGATTCCAGTGTTGGTTGTCCATAGGGGACAGCGCTCCACCATGTATCAAGCCAATCTCCTCCGCATTGGGTGCGAATGGCCGCGTGAAAGTCATGCATTATCGAAGGACTTTCTGTTTCAAACACGCATCCAAGTTGCAGAGCCCTGATTATGAATTTGCAGATGACGGCGGAATGAAAGTGTGGGAACTTCTTTGGGCAAGTTGGTTCGACAAACCCATCCCATACCTCCTGGTTGACCCCTTCCCATCCTCGCCTATGTTTTAGAGTGTATTAGAATAGGCTAGCAAATGAGGCGAACCAGATCCCTTACGTAGAATCCATCTGAGCAATGAGTAGAATCATAAGTCTCATCATCCGTTCTATACCAGCAACTGCCATGTCCCGAGTGGATTTCCCGTTTAACAAGGAACTGTTTTGTGCATCTCCTATGAATGACTTCACGGTTTGATGCACAAACTGCACACGAGATCGTTCTTGAGGTCGAGTTACCTCGAGGAGGCCACCAGAACAAGCTCTTATTCGCCTTTCCACTTCGCGCTGTCGTCTGTCATCATCGGCAGCCTTTAAACTGACCTCTTTTGTTGCTAATGGACTTCTTTGCATTAATTCCACTGCAAGACAAAATGCAGGGAAGTCTGTTCCGTCGTCCGCTCCGTACTCAAACCACAATACAAGTTCGAGCATGCCCATCAAAATAGGTCGGTCTTCCTTGGAAACGTTCTCCATCATCCGCTTATAAAACTCTGGCAGGTCAGTTGGGAGGCCGGAAAGTAAAGAGTGCACTTCTTCGATCGGTTTTCCGTCACAGAATGGTTGCCAGAGCTCGTCCAGAACGAGTGCAACCCACAGGAAAACACCATCTGCTCTGTCGGTGATATTGTCCACAATGAAGCTAGTGTTGTCTCGGTTGCATCCTTCGAGTCTATCGGTGGCAAATTTCCTAATGTCTTCTTTAGTCCAATCCTGGATGGTGAAACTTGGAGTTTCACTCAGTAATGAAGTGAAGGCATTCCAGGGTCGGCTAGAGGCGCAGACCCGGATAATCAGTTTCTGGTCATTAGATTTGTCCGTTGGAGCGGCTAGTCGTTTTACAAAGCGAGCAATATCCTCACTACGACCGGAATACTCGTCTAGAGCGTCGATAAAAATACAGATACAACCTTCAATCTGCTGTTGACGAACATTATCCAACGCCTTCTCTAGTTGCGGGATAGTCCAGGGGCAGATTGAGTTTTCATCCAAACACGACCAGTAGATATCAGTAACAGAATCTACTAGCCTAGGAATGTCTGATAGTAATTGAAAGATGATTGATCGCAAGAGACCATCAAATGCCTTTTCGGTCTCAACGCCTCTGGCGTGGAAGAAGAATGCGGGTGTTGAAAGGATCGGCCGGCCTTGCTTAGAGAGGGCCTCTCGAGTGCGAGAATCATTGAGCAAATATTTCATGAGTGTTGACTTTCCGGAGCCTGGTTTCCCTGTGATCCAAAAGAGACTTCTGTCGCTGTGGAGCCAGTCTAGAAAGCCGGTTTGGGGTTTTGTGAATACCCAGTCAAAAGTGTGAGTATGTGCAGTCGTGACTTCACCAACCCTCTCATTCATACGAGCTGTCCTGAGGCTCTGGCATATTTCTAATAACTGATTAGCACTCTCAGCATTGAAGTCACTGATGAGTCTAACGAACCCTTCACAAGCAACTTTCGTTCTAGGTCAAGCTCTAACACATTTAAGTACATTGCGTCTTGTCGGAAAGGGCGACTCTGTTACGTACTCGCTTGCTCTTTGGCGGCTTCTAAATATGAATAAGCAAACAATAAATGTGTGGAGGGAATGGACGAGTTTTACGAACGTTCTGCGAGCAATTTCCGTTCCTGTTCGTGTCCTAGCACGTTTTAGATCTCTTGTCTCTTAGAAATCAAAAGACATTTCATTGCGTACGGTCTAGCTCTTTGGCAACTTGGGTCTGAATCTCATCCATATATTTAGACACCACACCCTTCACTTTGTTATAGCCTTCATCATTTTTGTCACGGTACCTGCACATCATCATGTGGTTAGCGTTGATGAAGTCCCTTCCCTCCCTAGCATCGTCTAGCCGGGAGGAGTCATCGTCAACAATCTTGATGTGCGAATATAGTTAGCACGAGATACAGGATTTGTTTTGCCCCCGGCGGGGTGGCCTGGGTAAAAAAACCGTAGGGACTGAATCCGGGAGGGAGTAAAAAGAAAATGGCATACCTTCCGGGACAAGGAATAAGTGCCTTTAAACCCCTGGCCTTCCTGGAATGAATATATCTTGAAGGCTCGATCATACAGCATTCGTGCAAACTCTTGCCTGAGCAATGATAACATTTCCGCGTCAGGCTTGAGTGACCGTATGAGAGTATCTCTCGCATCAAATCCAGCTGCAACGGCGATATCCCTTGCTAATACCCCCATCTGTGCATACGAGCTCCCGCGATGTGGCGTACCGAAGAAGATGATTGCATGTGTTGACTGGTATATATCGCGCAAATCCTGATCCTCTTCCATTGAGTTCCTAGAGCGAAAGAGGGCCTGTATTCCTCAGACACGTCAACATTTCCCCAGCTGAATTATGCTCTTGAAACTAACCTGCTTCAGTATAATTCCACCCAGACTATGCACGAGAAAGATGATGGGCCGTTGACGACATCCTCGTCTTTGAACCTCAAGCGCACGCATGAGAGATTCGCCATGAGAAAGGATACCACTCTGATTGGCGGGTCCCTTGAAGAACTTTGACACTTGGGAATCGTATCCGTACGTCAGCACTCGAGAATTTGGGAAATCTTTGGCGAGAAGGTCCTTCGGCCAGAAAAGATGCGATGCTTCGTTGCTGCCCACCTCCTCGGACTGCTTCTTCCGAGAGAAGAGCTTCGCTAAACTGCGACCAGGCCTAGTGGGTTCTATTTCATTCCCACTATATGTCCATGTATTCTCTGGGTGGCCCTGAATGCCATGGACGAATACAAGGCTGCAAAATGAGGGTCAGCTATCTTGATAAACAGCCAGGGTGGACTGACTGACTCGGCAACAGGCTCCACACCTCCAGAGAGCACTGTAAACCCTTCGTCTCGGACATTGACTTCATCCATTGGATGCCTCTGTTGGCCGACTGGGCTCAAGAGTGGATGGCGAGAAGTATGGAAAAGGACTGTAATCCCACAACTCAATCGCGCCGGTAGATGAGAAATCTTGGGCCCCAAAGAGGAATGATTGAAGCAACGCAAGTTGTGGTCGAGGAGGCTGAGTCGCCGAACATCACGGATTTAAATGACGTGGATCGATCCTATTGAAGGGAATCCTGGATGCGGGCTAATTGGTTTTGGGCTCCAGCGGCAGCGCCCTGCTGCCACAGCCTGCAAAGGAGGGGTCCTCGAAGCTAAGCATGGCATTGGGCGATAGGAGTAGGAGAAGAAGCAAATACATGTCGTGCGACCCCAAAAGTAGAAGGAGCGTGGTGATAGCCAATCAATTAGCAACCGCCATGCGCACCTGAAAATGTTATCGCTGCTGTATTGTATTGGTAAGGGTTCGCTACAAGGTCGTATTATTGGTTGACAGTGGCCAGCTTCCGGCGAGCTAAAGGCGGGATGGGTGGGAACCTCCGAACTAACACCCTCACAAAATCGAGGTCAGAACCTCAACCTTCCGTGGCATCTCTCTCAGGGCCGATTAAGATAAACTCATATTACACCAACCCAAATTCTGACCACCTTTCCACCCCCGCTCCTCCTTTTTTAAGCTCTCTCAAATTTTGAAGGGCGTTACTTAAGTTCTGCGTCACGTGGGTCTTTTGTTTATAAAAATCCGTTATGGGTTCTCCTAAACGCCCTAGACAAAAAAACAAAGCAATATATCTATTTAAAAGATTCTAATTATACTTTAATAATATAACCGAGGTTTAATATTAATATATATTCAAGCTTAATATATGCCTAAAATTAATAAATATTTAATTTCTAGCTTTATATAAATCTAATAATTAATTATTAAATAAATGTTAAATTAATTAACCTAAAATTAAAGATATAAAGCAATTAATATAAATAATTTAAATTAGCTAATTATGATTTATTATTTTCTTCTCTAATGACTTTCTTATAAATATTTCTTTTATACTTAATTATTAATTCATTTTTAATTCATTTTCTTGATTTCTTTAATTTAATTTATTATTATTATTTTTTATATGTTTTTTTATTAGTTTTTATAACTTTCTAATTCTAATATAATATTATAATAAATATTTTAAATATTTTAAAATATAAGTGTTTTTTAAAGACTCTTTTATTAAGCTAAATTATTTCTTTTAATATTTTTCTTATTTTAAACTATTTATATATATATTATATAATACTAGTTATATATAACTTAGTATATAGTCTTTAGCTTAATTTAAGTTCTTTATTATTATTATATATATTTTATAATATAAGAAAAACCTTAAAAATAATTTCTAATTTTAATAATATAATTGTGACGGCGAGATCGAGGCAATGGTCAGGGCTCAAAGATCCAAGTATCTCATGTATTGAAAATACTAAGCTAAAGAGAAGAAGGAGAGAAAGAGAGAAGGAGAGGGGATAAAAGGAGGGAAATACTAGCTAAAACCACTGAAACGCCGGCTAGCTAGGTGAAACCAGTCATGTGACAGCCACCCCCCTTTGGCCCCCAGCCAGCGCCGTCACAATAATTATATTTAAAATAATTAAGAATTTATAAGGCTATAAATTTATATTATTTTATATTTATAAAATAATTATTAATAACTAATAACTTGTTTTTATATTTTATTTGATTTATATATAACTATTAAATATTTAAATTAAATTTAATAAAAATAAGCTTATATAAAATATATATATATAATATAAATTATTATTAAACCTTATATAAAAATATTATTTTTATATATAAGAAAATAATTAATAAGCTGCTATTTTTACTAAGATTAATTATAGTTTTTAGAAGTTTATTAATTTCTTTTTTATAATTATATGTTTTTAATATTATAATATTTGCACTTTTTATTAAAAATAATTATTAAATTAGTTTTAGTAATTTGGTTACTATTCGTTAATATATAATAAAGTATATTATAATATTACTTAACTTTTACTTTTTAGTTAGCTCATTGAGATTGCTTCCTTGTTTTGAACCCTTTCAGTAAATATTGGCGTTATTTACTTCAAGAGGACAACTAAGGACTTTTGGGGTCCACTTCAAGTCCTCTTCGTTCATTTTCAGGCGACCGACCGGCTTTTCGGCTTCAGCTGTTGCATATGGTCTGTGTAAGCGCCATGTTTCAGTCAGCTGAGCCGCAGCCTTGATAAGCCAGGCAGGTCCTGAGGCTGATAGCCTTGCCATATTAATACTCGAGATCGATGGACTAGAGTTCGAGTCGTGGAAAGTGCTAATAAAATCCACTGACGACTTGAACTCACTTTAGTGGGCAGGCACAGCTACCATGAGCACCGTATCCTCATCCTCGTTGCCCCAATCGACAACCCTCCGTCCAACATCCCCCCAACAATCAAATCCTGAAATTTTTGACTCACAGGAAGCAACCTCCTCAGCAGGATCCTCTCAATTATTAGATTTCCAGATTGCACAGACTGCACAGACTGCAATATCTCCAAGAGCATCCTTCATGACTACATCGTCAGAACCGGTATCAACCGCAAATATCTCACGCAGGGCAACAATCACAACTTCCCCACAATTATCTCCAGTTACCGCTCAAACTCCAAAGTTATCGCCATCCAGAGCGCGGAGAGCAAGGGAATGGACTATTATCCTAAGAGCCTTTGGAGTTCGACTCCTTAGCACATGGCGCAGTACACTGTACGGCCAAGACACTGAAGTAAAGAAAATCATACTGGACCAATCTTTTCGAGTAGCCTTGATACGTTGCTCGGTGCATTTCCTCCCGATTTCAGCATCCGTCGCCCTTACGGTTTTGAATCTTAAGGGATACTTTATCGGGGCTACCTTCCAAGGCCCATCTAATCTCAGCGACGCGGTAGATACGCTGTTTCTGCAGGTTGCTGCTAAAATGATGGTATGTTTCTTTGCCCATGGCGGACATGGAGTGACCTGGTTTGACTTCATATACTAGGAGTTACTCATAGTAGCATCGCTTAGCACTATAGTTCTCGAGATCATCAGACACGAGATTCTTCATAGGAAAGAGGGTTTACCGTTCGGACTTCTCGGTTCTGCTTTTTCCTTTAAGGATTTATCATTTTTCTGGTCCCCGAATCTGTGGTATGGAACCGGAGCTATATCTTCAAAGTGGCAGAAAGGCCGAATACTAGTTATATTATTGGTATCGGGTTTAGTTGCCACTTTTGCTGGACCATCGGCCGCCTTGCTGATGATCCCCCCTGCCCGTTATTTTCCAGGGGGAGGGACCACTTTCTGGCTTGTTGGGAACCGGAATTCACTTTGGCCCTTGAATCTCAATTCTGGTGCAGTTGGTGGAGCATCATGTCTGAATGCTACGGCCGAAATGCTAGAATTGAGAACCAAAAACACCACGGGATGCATCTGGTCCTCAACATCATCCATAGCTGAATCTGCTAAAGGTTGGCATCTGAGCACTTTCTACAACACTATAACCATAGTCGATGAACTTTCTCAACGATCGGTATCTTACCGTGCTAGTGATTGGACTGCCAACTATTTCGACACCTGGGCTGTTTCGAGCAGCTGTGCCATCGCCGTTTATTCCACAGAGCTGTCTAAGATTTGGTACGACGCCATCTATCACGCCCCAATAACGAAACATATTGCTTATAGCAGTTTGAAATACCGCGAACCGACTCTTTCGCTAGCTACAACTGTTAGTCAAATACCTGTTACTCGTGTGAGATGTAACAACAGAAGGAATGTAACATTTGGCACTAGTTCAGAGTTATCTGTAATAAATCACCCCATCCGAAACCTTTGAGTTCTTATCGCTGACAATTTCAGTTCCCAGTATTCGCATATTATGGCGACTACCCAGCCAGCGAGCACAACCTTTCTGTAACCACCGTCAACTCGTCTTCCATTCTCACCCAATGGATTCCCATACCCCAAACCCCACGCAAGCGCTCGTTCGGCTCTATATATAGTTACCCCAGCACCTTTCTAACAATACAAATCCCCCAAAATTCCGAGAACTGCACGGTATATGCATGTGCTGTTGATGCACGCTGGGCAGACGGAGAAGCAAGCCTATCTAACGTTGCCCACAGTAACTCTTTGCAAACAGGCGTCGTAACAAGTAAAAACGGGGGCCCCTATGCAAACCCTCGGTTCTCACCCATCGATGACGGGACGTGGAAGCAAGTCAGTGCTGATCTCGATTGGCTGTATACGCTTACACCGTTTTTAAACTCTTCTGTTTCTCCACCCCCACCTCAAACCCGAGACCTACCTGGGTGGACAAGTCTCGGATCCCTGCTTGCTACTGCGGGGTTCGATAACAGCACATCCTTAATCCAAAGCGACGGGGGCTGGGCCAGCTTAACCTCAGCACTGGAATCTGTCATCGCGATCTTAGTCACCGAAGGGATGGCTAGAATCGGACTTACTGAGAACATGCGCGCTGAAATCTACTATAAAGATGCGGGAATACCCTATCTGTACTCCGGGCTTACAGACACAATCTACCCATTTTACGACTCCATTCTCAAAGACGATAGCAAGTGTATCCTCCCTCAACAACACATCGATGCCGACAATCTCACCAAGGCTCACTGGGACGTATTAGTTTCCGGTTATGCGTATAAGGCAGATAGCATAGCCTACTATCTCGCGATCGCAGTCCTGCTTTTGCACGCTGCCATGGCGCTCGCACATATGGCACACTGCCTCCTCTTCAAGCAGCTTTCTTCCGACGCATGGGATTCGTTCGAGGAGATGATGGCGCTGAGTTATAATTCGCGACCCGAGGGGAAGTTGCGGAACGCGTCGCCGGGGATTAGGAGTAATGCTACGTTGAAGAAGAAGGTTATGATTAGAGTTGTGGAAGGGGAGAAGAGGGTTAGGGGTGAAGAGGAGGTGCAGCTTCTGTTTGATAGAGCGCCGGATGAGGGGTTTGAGATGGTGAAGTTTAATGAGGAATATGGTGCTGTGGATTAGATAATGCTTTTATTGTTATGTCTGAATTTGAGGACATGTGTGACCATGTTATTATCATCAATAGAAGTCATTGTATCTTGAAACTCTTGTTAAGGGTATGCCTTAATGCATCGTCGATTTTTCAAACTTTATTTTTATTTCCCTTCAGGCTCTCAGAATTATACCATAGCATTTTACATCGCTGATTTACGGTCGAGGCAACAGTGTTCTTGGCCTCCACATCAATTTAAACCCCAATCTTCTATTGAAGTTCAAGGCTTGCCGGCATAGGACCAAAAGCTGTCCTTCGTCGCCAGCTTGGTTTTGGATATCGAAGGCACGACAGTCTCATACTGGTATAGTTATTGACTTCACATTGGAGTCTGTTTGAGTTGCTCGCAGCCAACGATCAGTCCGTAGATGTTTATTCAACGAGTGTACTGTACAATACTTCTATTTGGAATGTATAATGGTGCAATCGGTGCTGCCGACGTGGGATTACGGACTATAACACGATTTCACGGCCGTTGTTGACTCCCAATAGAATGTCGATGGGCAATTTCGTTGGCTTACTGCAAAACCTACTTCTTCTGTGCCAATTCCAAACGGGAATTGTATGCTATATAAACTCTTTGGAAACAAGCTTTCTCTCTAGCCTACAAGTACTAACTATATACAACGAAGCTCCCCCAGGCTCGGCAAAAATACCTAAATTTCCGGTATCGATACGTATTGATGCCAGAATCGTAAGGTATTAATAGTATCAATAGTAGTATCAATTTCCTGAACCTAATTTTCCCCTTTAATTACAATTAACTTTCGAACTACTTCTCTTATAAGAAAACTTTTAGTAGCGCAAATATTCTCTTTAATTTAGGCTTTCTATCTAGCTACTTATCTTATACTTTAGGCTAAAACTAATCTCAATGCGGCTATTTTAAGTAAAAATGAGCTTTTGAGATTTTCGTAAGGCTCGCTTATATATTTAGTACCTTGATAAGAAATATAAATACAGGGCTTAATTTTCCGAATACGAGAGGTATTTTAAATTTAAGATATTATTAAATTTTATTAATAATAGTAAATAAATTTTTTAATAGAAAGACTAGAAATTAAAGGAATTATACATAAATATATTCTTATATAAATAAAATAATAAAATAAAGAGATAATTTTTAGGAGTAAGAATTAATAAGGTATTAATATATATTAATTCTTATAATACTTGAAAAATACCTAATACTATTAATACCGGTATTAATACCTCAGGTATTTTTGCCGAGCCTGAGCTCCCTACTAAGTAATTCATTAGTATTAACTTTCTTATTAGTACTCCTGAGAAATAAATATTTAAAATATAATTGGAATACTATAATACAGATTTCTTTTCTAATAACCTTAGTATATTAGCCAGATACAAGTTAGTATTATAGTAGTTAAACTAGTTCTTGCAAAAATTCTTAGTTAATTCTCTAAGTAATATAGTAATATTAAGCTTCTTATAATATTCGAACTTTATTACATGTTTTTAAATATAAGAAATAATATAAAATAAAGAGACTAAAAAGTATAATAAAGGCTAGTATAAAAAGTATTTATAAAATAAAACAAATTCTTATATCTATTAATAATTAAATTTATTATTTAATTATTAGCTTTAAAGTAAATCTTTTAAAACTTGTATTTTATTAATTATTTTCGAGATTAATAATAATATACTCTATTTAAAATAATAAATTTTAAAGTTTTTAAATTAAAGTTATTATATATATAATTAAAGCAAGAAGCAAAAACTATTAATTATATTATTAGTAATATAATTTATATATTCTGTTATAATAAAAATATATAGATAGATTGCTTGAGAGGAAAGAGAGGTGTGGTACGAGTGGCCAAAGCTTAAATACAGGAATGTAGTCACGTGAGCCTGCACGTAACTACTAGCACGCAGTTGCCATATAACATATTCTTTAAACTTTTCTTATAATTATTAAATAAATATAAGTAAATTACTTTAAAATAAACTTAAAATAAAGATATATAAGTAATATATTAAAAACTAAAAAGTATTATATTTATTTATAATAAGTAATAAAAGTAAGATTTAGTTTTATTAATATTTAATAATTCTTTATATTAATTATATAAATTTCAAATTTTAATAATATAAAACTATTAAAGATTTTATTTATTTAATTTTAATTCGATTTTTTATTAAATTAATATTATTTATTAATTAATTAAAATAAATATAAATAAATGTTTTATTATATTTTCATTAATTTAAATTAATATTTTAATCTTATTATATAATATAAATTATATATGTTTAGTAAATAAATTAATAAAAAGTTATATATTATTAATTCTTATTAGTTTTATTTTTAAGATAAAGTTAAGTCTAATTAGAAGATATAATAATATTTAAACGAGGAACTTAAAGGCTTGCTTATTACTGGAATTTGCTAACAAGCAAATACTAGTATTTAATACTCGATATTAGAAGCTAGCTTTTAATATTTTAAAATTGTTTCGCAAAATATAAAAACTTAATAACTATTTGTAATGCGCACATGTGCCCAGAGTACGAGCGAATGTCCAGGTGGATCTGGTAGCCTAATTGGGCTAGTGCTTATGTGGGATCGCATTCCCTAATTGTGACTAGTGCTTCCATACATCCAGCGGAACGCTAGATTCTACATATGGAGGCATGCGAGCTTTGGAAATGGGCATTGATTAGTTTCTTAATGGGAACCAGTTCTTGGAATCAATTATACTTTCATGCTTCACCATACTTTACCTTGGATTCCACTCCTTACCTTAACTACTTGCATAGCGCCCTGCTATTATGCGCCTTATACTATTGCAATTATAAAGGTTTTAAAGTAATTTCTAGTAATCTTAAATCTTAAGACTTATAAGGAATTACTTTTCTTTGGTAATTATTTCTTATAATTATAAAATATTATAGTTTAATATTTATTTATTTTATAAGGCAAAAGTAATTAAATAATTAAATAAATACTTTATTACTTTATTATAGCTTTTTTATTAAAAAGAAATTTTAATAAAATTTATATAATAATTAAAATATTATATTTTATAAAGTACTAGAAAAGTAATTAAAAAAAAGTAAAAGCTAATATTTAAAAGCTAGTACTTTTAAAACTATTTATAATAAGTAATTCTAAAAATACTAGAATTTATATAAGAGTAAATATTAATAATTAAATACTAGTAATAATTACTAATATATAAAACAAATATAAATACTTATTTTTATAATAATTAAAAGCTAGAATTTAAATAGTAACTAAATACTAGTATTTAAGAATTATAAAACGGGCCTTAATATAATTAATTAGTAATTTATACTTGCTTTTATTTCCGATTTATTAATAAAACTCGAATTTAAAATAATATATTACTTTTTAATAAAAAGCAAAAGTAAAAATTTAATTAAATAAAAAACTATTATTATATTTAAAAGACTCAAAAAGTCATTTTTGAATTAAATTAAATTAAGTTAAGTTAGTTTTATAATAAATATATTAAAAATATAATAATATTTAATTATTTAACTCTATATTTATTCTTATTTTTATATTACTTTTTAAATTTACTAATATTTTAATATTCGAGCTTATTATATAATATTTAAAAAAATTCTTTTAATTTAAAAGTCTAATAATATAAGCTTTTCTTTATAATTTTATAATTTATTAAAAGTATTTAATTAATATTATTAATTAAACTCTTTTTAATATATTTTATAAATAAGAAATTAAAAATATATTATTTTCTTTATTTTATAATTCTATAGAAATATAACTTATATTTTTTTAAACCGGAATTTATTTAATTATATTAATAAATCGGGGATAATGCCTTATTATTTCTTTTTATTATTAGCTTTACTAATATCTACTTGAATTATAAAGAAATTTAATTAAATTATTTCTTAAATAAAAGAACTTTAGTAATTTTCTATTATAAGTAATTATTATATTCTTTTTAAGTATTTATTTAATGTGCTTTATTTAAGGATAAATAATAGCAAAATATACTTTAAAATATATACTAGTATTAAGTGGGTTTTAGCCTTAGTAAATATTTTCTTATTTAAATATATATTTAATACTTCGAAATTAAAATATAATAACTAGATCTCGAGATTTATATACTGTTTTATTCTTAATCTTATTACGTTTTAGGAAGCTTTAAAAGGGCTATTTCTAATACTCTGCTACTAGTACCGACTCTGCTATAATAAAAGAACTCCGAGAAGCTTATATAGAATAATACTCGCTATTAGCTACAGGTATTGGCTCAACGGTTAGCGTTAGAACACTATTAATTGGGAAAGCCTCCACCAGGTCACGGATCCTCGTTATTCTTTTCGTATGTGTTATAGCTACAATCGCTGGCTTTGGGTGTATAGATGTCGCTGCCAATCTCAGTCTCGTCTGGGTGCCGCCGCCTCTCTCCCCGTTCCCCCTGCTTCTCGCCGCCGCCGCCGTCGCACTCCCTCATTATCTCTACTCCTATCTCCGCCCGTCACTAGTTATAACAGAGCACAGCAATGGCAGATTTTTCTTTAGAGACAACACATATCGGCATATACAAGTAATAAACAGAATCATAGAAGTAGCAGAGGGGCTAGAAAACAGTGCGAACCCTAGTAAAGGGTTGCATTGAATTGTTTCCTTAATAGATGCCCACAGAAACACCTAGATAGAGACATGAAAGACAGATATAACCACATGAAACTCACTGTCACGGCTTTGATGAAGTCGCACTATAAGGAATCAGAACGATCATTTTCGAGTTGTCCTTATCGAAATCCGAATGTTTTCTCGGCTTACACTAACAGGGTCATTGAGCTGTGTTTGGATCGCGCTATTTGTCATTGTAATTAATAGAATGATAGGTCAAAATGGGCTCTGTTTGAAAGAATGAGATATAGAGTTGGGGGGTGGTGCAGAATAGGTGGCGCAAATCATAGACTCTGGAGAAATGTTTCGCATGGAGTCAACCCACCTTTCCCCCCCGCGATTTCAGCCCCCAAACTGTGATTCACGTAGGCTGCCGCAATGCAATCAGGCTATATTCCTTGCTGACGTGGTCTTTCGAGAAGTACAGTACCAAACAAAGCTCAAATAGAGAGACGTTTTTTTCGAAATAAGTACAGAGACAAAGGTAACAAGTTTCATTGTAAGAAAGACATCACCGGAAATAAAATGGATTTCTTCAATGAATTAGAGCATCTTATCAGCTCTCAAGGCACAGTAAATGCATCCACAGCAGATGTTCTCGCCGAAATCGGATCGCCGTCCGTCTCAATCGCTGTTCTGGACCACGGCTCTATTGCTTCCAAATGTATCTCAACAATGGGCGATAACTCAGAGACACTATTCCAAGCATGCAGTATATCGAAAACCATCACTGGAATGGCGACGATGCGCTTAGTTCAGGCAGGAAAGCTAAAGCTGGAAGACAAAATCGTCGACGTCATCCCCAGACAAACAGTAGAGATTCTGGAAACTCCCTACACCAAAACGTTGTTGCAGGAAATTACAGTCAAACATATCATGAGCCATACATCTGGACTTACCGTCGGCGGATTCCCTGGGTACTCTAAAGAGGCACCGAGTACGGAGGTCCTGCTCTCTGGGAAAGCGCCCGCGAACACACTTCAAGTCCGGGTGCAAGGATTCCCAGGGTATGCGTTTTCATATTCCGGAGGCGGGATGACTGTCCTGCAAATCGTTCTTGAGGCTGTGACGGGAAAAGATTTTGCGGAACTGGTGAAAGAGCTTGTTCTGGGGCCACTGGAAATGACACGATCGTTCTACGCTCTCGCAGAAGGGGAGACGAATGTTACGAGAGCGCATTTCACGGGGTATACGCCATCCGATGTCCGATGGCATATTCAACCCGAGAAAGCGGCCGCGGGTTTATGGACTACGCCGAGTGATCTTTTGAAAGTTGTGAGAGCGATGCACCGGTCGCTGGAAAGTGGTGATGGCAAGGAGTTTTTGGAGAAGGAGATAGCGGCGCAGATGCTGGAAGAGGTGGCTAATACGATGGCGTTGATGTGGATTGCGCCGAGAGATCCGGGTATTGCGTTTGGGCATGGAGGATCGAACTTCCCTGGATGGGAATGCTTCGTTATGGGGTACGCAGACTTGCGCCCCCAAAGTGGGAAAGAGGATCGACTGTTGGAGGAAAAGGCTTGGGATGATTGCGGGATTTGCATCATGACCAACTCAGCAGCAGGCTTTGCGGTATGGGCCAAGGTATTCCATGCCATTTCGTATCTGAAGAAATGGGCTCCGATTCCGTATTTTGATGGCAGGACACCTTTTGGTACGGTACCATTTTGTGCGTATGGGGCTCGGGTGGACAAGAGATGGGTCGAGTGGAAGGGTACGTGGGCTGATCGTGGAAAGGAATTGATTGTTGAGGGTGATGAGGACGGAGAGCCTAATTTGCGGTATGAGAAGGGGAGCAGGGCAAGACTTGTGCCTGCTGCGATTCCGGGCATTGAGTATGCAGGGGACTGGAAGTCGATTGATTTGGTTTTGGAGGGCTTGGAGATGATGGTTAGATTGGGTTGGACAGCGGAGAAGAGAAGTGTCGAGCTTTGGCAGGGCGTAGTAGGACCAGATAGAGTAGCGCACTTGACCAGAGGGGAGGCTTAAGGGCCACCATGCCCATCTGTTGTTGTCGGGCTTCTGAAGCGGTTCGCTGAAAACGGACACGGCGCCTCGGAACATGTACGGGCTGATTCATCAAGCCGTCCTGTGCGAAGGTAGCAGAAAACGTGAAAAGTAGGACCACTGTTTCCAAGCCACTGGAATTGCAATCCAATGGCACACTGCCAGGAGGCATCCTCAGTAAGTCAATCGTCTGAGTGTGTTTGATGGATGAAAGATCTAAATCCCGTCATAGAGGCGATGAATTTGATTGATGATGAATGCCGAGGCATCTCCAGCGACGTTTATGACAGCCTAGCCTGTCCCGCAAGGGGCTTCGCTTAGGGCATTCTGCCATGATCTACTAAAACGGAGAAAACCCTATTAATACCTCAAGTTATAGGGCTTCTCGCAGCTCATATATCTCTCTATACGTGGGTTCTAAAATTATAAGAGAAGGTTAATTACTTCCTCTAAATCTATATATTGAAATTTAGGTTTTTAGCCTTAATTAAGAGCTTATCTTTAACTTTTAGGCTTTAAATAACTAGAGTAAGCCTGTGAAATACGTGCTTATAAAATAATAGTATTTATTAAATGACTTATTTTTAAACCTTTATTAAACTAAAGAGTTAATTATTTATTATATTATAATTAGCTTTGTACTTAATTACACATTTCTAAGCGAGTAAATCCAGTAAATTAGAGGGTTAGTAACCGGATTTGAGCCTTCTTATTTATTATAATTTCACGTATGTGATTAATAATAAAGTATAAACCTGGCTGTAGTATAATGGACAGTGAGGATATACTTTTCTTTGAGACGAGGAAGTTAAGCGAAAAAAGGTTCTCTTACCGATTCCTCCGATGGCTAGCGAAGAGCACAGTTTCTCATTACTTTGACCACCACCCTTCGGTCCGCCGTTCTTTCTTAGGAGCGGCGCAACGGGTTTCCAGTCGCGGATTCTTGGTAACCAGAGAGCCCTATGGATGACAGGACTGCAGCATCTGATTCCAGGAAGTTGCTAATCAGACAGGCCAATAATTCATGACGAGGCAGACGAGAATGTTCATGGTGAAGCAATTATTATTACAACAAACTCCATACAGACATAGACGATCTCCCAGGCCGCAGGGAACAAGAACGGAAGTGGAACAGTCCCAAACCGAAAGAAATATTTCAACGCTTAACGTTGCTGCTCTCCTTTTTATTGTAGACTGCACAGTCGATCCTTTCACAACAGTGACCGCCTACCCTACACAATCTTTACAAATGTCTGCGAATGAATTAGTGGAACAGACTTGTAGAGATGATCAACCATTTCCCAGCTGTCCGCGGCCGGCAGTCGTCATCTGGAGGCCGGGACCCTCGACCTTGGTGAGCACACAGTAGGTAAGCCGCTGTCCCGTTTCTGCAGCGCCAGTGACTAACTGTGACTTGGCGGAACTTTCCTCCCATAATATTCCGACTCAGGTCAACACCGTCCCACGACAGCAAGCAAAGCGAGAGCGGAATCGTCGGGCATCCGGTGTCCTAATATATCAAGGGCAGCTGGCTTGAGAGACGGATACGCTATCTGTGATTCCCTGCGAGATTATAAACAAGTGGAACAGGAGTGCTAGTCGAGAAACTCTTGCTCACTTGTGGCACTGTATTTGGACAAAGCCAGCTCGCACTCGAATAAGGAACTGGACACCACACTCGAGACCTCCGACCCCCCAGAAACTAGTATAGCAGGACAATTAACAAGATCTCAACTCTAATACCAGAGAGGCATTGAAGGGACCTCAAAGGAATATACACAATTTGCCGAAGTGCTGAGGCGATTATACAAGGTAAATATAGCTAACCTCTACATACAGGAGAATGCGGCTCAGAATAACGCAAAAGAAAGAGAGTGGCAATCTGGAGGCTGGGAACACAACTCGAAAATCGATATGTGATACCCCCCTCCGGATCTTCTTCCAGAACTACCAAAGGAGGAGGGTGATACATGTAAGAAGCCATGAAAAAGCTTGAAAATTGGATATAACATAGAAAACGGTTGGGCTAAACTAGTTAAACACTTTGACCCTGGCAATCTGCTCTTAGTACTTCAGGGTTTAACTAGTGACAAGTGAGTTGTTTTCCTTCGCAAATCTCCCTTCTCAGCACCTTAGCTCTACGACAGTTTGATTATTGATCTTGTCCCCTAGCCTACAAAAGATGATACTAGTCTAGGTAGATACCCTCGTAAGATATCGGGGTTCTTAACGACCTTCTCTCAAAGCCGATATTCAAAACCACACGTTTCTTGTTTCGCTCGCCAGATCAGAGGCTATAGCTTAAGATATTGACCGAAAGTCACATTGTATCTAGAGAGCTTACAGTCTGATCATTGAAAGAGTTATTCCAGGTTACTAATAATTGCTTGTCCTTTCTGACAGGGGCTGCTTTTGATTTCACTTGGCCTAATGCTAAAGCTTCAGCTTCACCTTTAGTGGTCCCCGAAAAACAAGTTTGCGGCGCTAAAACTACTGACCGAGGTGACCGAGATTTTATATACGAAAGTTCTCTTTATTTCACAACCAGTAAAAACACAGAGTATTAACTATTAACAAGCTATGGGAAGAAGGGTCTCAGAAAGTCTTTAGAATAGTATCACATGGACTCCAATTCCTTCGATTATCTCTGTTTAATCTGGCATACACAGCGATCCTATGTGTTACCTGGAGCCAGTGTGTCAAATGATTAGATTAGATTAGATTAATGGCCATTAATCTAATCTATTTACGAAAAAAACTCATTAATCATATTCTATTCACATATTAATTAGATTAATCATGATTAATCTGATTAATCTAATTAGTCCGTACGTGACCCTAACACGTGATAGCGCTAGCCAAACCTGGTAACGCTCCTGCCCGCTCTGGCTCTAGCACTACGCTAATTAGGGGCAGTAACGCTTAGTAAGCGAGTCGAAGCCAAATAATAAAAGGGGGAATATAGAGATTCCGAGGAAAATAACTAGTTTATTATTATTAAAAGTTAGTATTTAGCTACTATTATATAAGCCCTAGCTTAGTTTGACTAGGGCTACTTAATAAATACCTTAGTTATTGAATAATTATTAAGTAAATATTAATTTACTATAGTCACGTGACAGATTAATTAGATTAATTATGATTAATCAGATTAATTATTCTAATCTAATCAAAAAAAATCTGAATTACGTTAATCGTATTCTAATCTAATCTAATCATGATTAATCTGATTAATCTGATTAATGTGATTAATTCTTTGACACACTGCCTGGAGCAGAGTCCACATCAGCTGCCAAAGTGATGCAGATCATGCACACCCAGGCGAGAAAGAGAGAGTTGACAATACGAAGACAACGGCATAAAGTATCAGGAATACAAGGCATTGGGAGACTTTTAGAATCTCCGGCGTACAGATTAAGGTGGTAAACTCGGTATAGGGCTCTATATTTCCAGGCCCTTCCCCTAAAAGCAGTATTTACGCCTTCGACAAGGGCGACCACACCTTTTCAGGGCTTCCCCCCTGTACTTACAAGGGAATCTTCACTAAGGAGGCCTATAATAGTTGCTTGTTTAGCGTCCGAGCGCTAAAGTTACTCTACCAATAGCGCTATAACCCTAGAAGATCTACTTATCCCCTGCGGAGGTCTTATAGCGCCTCTTTATGCCGATTTAAGGAGCATTACCTAGGGATATAGAGGCTTATAGTGAGCGTCTACCCTAAATCCGCACCCAGTAGAGCACCAAGGGTGAAAATGCCCTGTATTCCCGATACTTTATGCCGTTGTCTTCGTACTTAGCGCGCACTCTGCCACAGCGTTTATTTCCCAGAGCCCAGGCAACTGTAATCCTCTGGCAAACACTGGCTGTCCTTTTGTCCTGGATAGAATACGCACAGTCTAAAAATCCAGGATACCGATTCACCTCCTCTAACGCACAACAAAAATATCCAACTTGCTTGAATACAATCTTTTCTTCACCATCCGATTTTGTAACCAAAAGGTGCAGGGTAGAGTTCCCAGTGGATAAGTGGAGATTTCCGAGAAAGAAAATGAATACATACAAACTCTTCAGCATTTGGATTAAGATCACACTCGTTGAACCTGACATCGTAGCTATCAAAAGTTATCGGCCAGGTCAACAAGGCTTGGGGACTATTCTGACTCCACAAGCACTTTAAATCTAGAATTTTAACGCATGGGTCACAAATGATATTCAGTAGATGTTGTTGGGAACTTGGGAGCATGATATGGGTTTGGCTCGAGAGAACGAGTGCCTTTGGAATAGTAGAAAAGCCGACTGCCAATCTGTATCGGATGATCTGGACCTTTTCGAGCGAATGGATGGAAACAAGAATCAAGAGCATCTTCCTTGAGGCTACGTCAGTGAGATGTGAGTCGACAAATTCGTTAGTATTTAAAAATTCTGCAACCATTACTAATATTAAACGATTTCTTAAATAATTAACGCTTTCTATTCTCTTGATTTCTAGTACTAGTATGTGCTAGTAATTAATTAAACTCTGCATTTTCGCATTTTATATTGTATTTATGTGAGGCACGTAATAGCAGGGTGAAGCACAAGTAGTCAAGGTAAGTAAGCTGCAGAGTGACGCTTGCAAGTGTAACTGATTCCAAGAATTGATTCCAACAAAAGACTAATTAATGCCCCTTTCCAAAGCTAGGAGCGTCTCCCTATATGTTCCCTAGTGCTTAGCCAAGCCTGCGAAGCACTTTACTTAACTAGGAAACACGATCCCATGCGATCCGTACGATTCCGATCGCCCGTATGATTCCGATCGCAAGCTTTACCTAAAATAGGAAACTAGATCCACGACATCTGATACCTGTCCATGCGCCATTACGTGTGCCCATTACATTAACCCCCCCTCTGGGCCCTTGTCCCCAAGAGGCCTGAGAGAACTGCGAATGGCTTTATAAATGACCCCCTGAAACTTTTCCGGCCGCTAGTCCTCCCCAAATACTCCTTATAATTGCCCTATTATTACGCCAGATAATAGACTTAAGAATATAGTTTACTAACCCTGCCTAGTTAACTCGCAAATTGCCTCTGGCGATTTCCCCTTTCAAAGGTAGTACGGATATAGTATATACTATTAGTTATAAAGCTTTTCCGGTCTTCTAATT